TTTTTTCACAAATAACGTCATGTGCTGTGGTCATTATGACATCATTTATTGCCCCCGCAGGGATTTCGCCCAGGGGCAAAATCCTGAGGAGGCACCCTAGTAACTCGTGCATATATTAAGGACAGTACTTACTGTTCAAATATACAGTCAGTATACTAGAAAAAAATCTTGATTTGCTCGAACAGGGGCCGCGAGGAATCGGTAGGTAATGATGATGTTTCTATTGTTTGCGCCCGCAAGTATGAAATGGTTAGGATGACGTAAAGACAGAAAATTCCGAGGGGACCGCTCAGGTAGATTTTGTGACATTTATTGTGCAGTCATACTTCGATACTCTTTTGCGTTACGCAGTGACATTCTGTGGAGCAGTTGTTTTGAAAGTTATGGGCCAAAAGACACTCATTAAGTGCAGACGAGGTTATTAGGTGCGTTTAACTGTGTATATATAAACACTTGGAGGTTTGCCAGACAAAAGTTCACAAATCTTTGATTTATATTGGAAACCTTGCCAGACACTCTTTCTCTCTCTTTGACCGGAATAAGACTCAGCCCCAAACAAGGAAGACGAGTGAACAATGGCTAGCTTATCACTAGCAGATTGATGGACAATTACATGAATTCGCCGACAATCAAATTCTGTGCTGACTTTTTCCCTGCTCACAGATGTCCTTGCGTTATAAAGTTTCAAATAAGACTAGAATGCGTGAGCGTGAATCGATCAAACATCCTATTAATTTCTAAGGCTTACTTTCCGGCAAATAAAATGAACTAAATGTAAAAAGTGAAAGAGAAATAGCGAAAAATTCAACTTCTAATTAAATCTTTTCGCATGGTTTAGAATAAACTATTCTCGAAACTGAGAATGTTTTGATCAAAGCTGTGTAAATCGAGCTGAAACTGTGCATGGAACCTTGCGTTTCCTGTATTTATCTCACCTATTGTATGGAATATGTGTGAAAATCTTCATTATGAATTGGTATATTATTTCAAAGAGCTACACAACCAGCAAGAATACTATTGACCGACAATATACAGAACGGGGGCAGCTGTAGTGTCAACTATTACTAGTCATCCCTTCCCAACAATTCTCAATAATTATTTAAAGATGTGGAGGGATGAGAGCCCTGGCAATGGGTTCTTGGCAGATTCCATTAATTACAGTCTGTAGTGCAGCATTACAGTCACACCCAAATCGTGGAAAGTGAAAAAAAGTGATTATTGACAGGCAGGGTAAAATAATAAGCCTTGACAAAAAAAAGCATACAGATTCAGGCTAAAAGCTGTGATTTTATTTTGAACCCTAAAAACAGTTATTCACATGGGTGCCCCTGAAGCAACCACTCTTGAATCAGCTACATGTATAATAAAAGCATTTAATGCTAGAATTTGTATGTGACTGAATAAATTACTGCATTAATTTTATTAGAGATCACACTGATTACTTCTGTTTAAATCATTTGCTTTTCTTCAGCTTGTATCATCTGGAACATACACAAAACCACTTGTATTTAAGGGGACATCAGGACAAGCTGGAACCATAACGGTAGGTTTTTAAAACAGGCCTAGACTTTTAAGATTTCAGTTACCTTTAAAGGCTATTTAATTGTATAATGTTGATAGTTCATCCAGTATAAGTGTTGGTAAAATAAATTTTAACTCTTTTGAAGATTAATGAAAAGGATGAAAATGGCCCCTCTGTCAGGATTGTAGTACTACATGTACTACAAACTACTGTTTGTTTTATCATTGATCACACACACTGTAATAATAAATAATTATTAAGACTACGTGTATGTTATTGTTAAATTCATTCATATTATTATCAATGTTAATAATCATTATTTGTGCAGTCAGTATTCTGAGCACTGTTAGATACTTTGGCTTGCAAAGTCATTTAATTTTCAATCCAAAAATTTATTTAACTCATCATCAACAAAAGGTGAGTTTCAGTGTTGATTCAGTGCCTTAAAGGTCAGTTCATCTGGCTGCATGGTACATAATCATGTGGCTATCAGGCACTTGGAAGGAGGTATCTATGGCAACCAGCAAGCCACTACTAGTTACCACCAAAGGTACTATTACATGTGCTCTGAACCGGATAGTGGAATGCATACTTATCCTGAGAACTAAATAATTAAATAAATACCAAATGATCCAGAGGGGAGAATAAACAGATAAACTGACCATATATATATGCACTGAGAGGCCAGAATAACATTGAGAAAGCTACATTGTAGTGATTGTTATCAATGCAAGCCTCTGTAAATTGCCACGTCAAGGGGGACTACTGACCAGCATTCTTCCAACTATTACATTTACCTTACCTATTAATTACATTTTAGCCACATTTAAATTAAATTCATTTGGTAATTATATCAATGTATGCCTGGCTTACTTGTAGATATATAATCAATGTTCTATTCATGTGCATCATAGGTGGTTGCAGAGGAGGTTAGTGGTGGAAATGATGAAGTGATTTTCCAATTCAGGGCTGAAAAATTAGACAAGAAGGTTTGTAAGTTGTTTGCAGGTTTCAGAGTCTATTAATAATGATAGTAATAATAATAATATTATAATTATTGTTGTTGTTGTTATTTACAGTGTACCAATATTTTTACGGGATTTCCCCCTTCAGTAGGGCTGATAATTATCAATGGTGGGTCCTGATAGACTAACATTAAATGCACAAGAATATATAACACAAAATTGTCTGTTTGTTTGACTGTTTAGTGAACTCAAATTCTCTAAGCAAAAATCATTTAACCTTGACACTACAGTATTTCGACTCACCAGGATTCAGTGAATACAAACAGACATACTCACATATTAAATGGATGTCAAAATATATAAATGTCAGTGAAATTTAGTCTAGAAATTATGCCCGACGGAATTCAGCTTTGAGTTTAAACACAATGTCTCAACTAACCTGAGGAAAGAAGACTTGAATCTACTAATAACCCTTTATGAAAAAGGAGACCTTCTATGAAAAGACACCCTATGAAAACTTTGTTGCCATTAGTAATTTACTAGTAATTTTGTAATTTGTTTACCCACGGAGCACTAAGGAGTTCTTAAGGACTTGTCAAAACGTGTCCGTGCATTCCAGATTGAATTGGAATTGTTGGTTTTTAAGGAGAGGTGAAAAGTGGTGTATCCGGGGAAACACCTGTCCGAAAAAGGGAGAGAACCAACAACAAACTCAACCGACATATGCTGTCAATGCCGGGATTCGATCCCGGGCCACATCGGTGGGAGGCAAGTGCTCTCACCACTGCACCACCCTTGCTCCCCATTGCCATCTTTCAGGTGTTGGAACAAATACTGGAACTTTTGATGTACACCATGCGCTCATTCGTAAAATAATGTTTTCACCACTCGAAAATGAAATTAATATCTTTGCACCTCCCCGTCTAATATCCTCTATTTGAAACTTCATAAACTGACCTTTATGAACTGAAATAATTATGAAGGTGAACAGTTTGCACAATGCCACCTGACAATGGCAAAAGATTAATTTTGTCCAATGCACTAACATCTGTACTCTGTTAAAATTGACATCTGACTGACATCTGTTAAAATTTGAAGCTGTTATACAAAAAGCATAGAAAGATCTTTTTCCTATTTTAAAATAATGCTTAACGGTAGATATTTAACAATTATTCCTTGAGACCAAATGACTCAGAGCCTATGAGGGCGAGAGGAATAATTGTTTTAGTAAAATCCAACTAGTTGGATTTTACTAAAACAAATATTCCGCTCGCCCTCATGGTCTCTGTGTCAATAGCCCATTCGGGCTCGAGGAATAATTGTTAAATTTGTATTAAAAGCTATATACATACAAACCCTTCTAATTTTTTTTGGGTCGACCCAAAAAAAAATTTAGAAGGGTTTGTATGGAGTTTTGTAAGCATAACTGGGCTACAATCTCAGAGACAATTTGCCCCCAAATGCTCATTTTTGGCAAGTAGGCCTCTTGGACATTGTTCTTTCAGAATATCCTGACAAATCCCATAATTTCAGAAATTTCATTTTTATGACGTCACACTTTAGTACTCTATTAAGGATGAAATTCGGGCAGTTGATAGCCAATCAGATCTGAGAATTTTGTGTTCAGATTTGAGAATTTTATTTGCTGTACAAAAGAGGATATACAGTAGAAAAAAATTATTAAAACGTAGGAAAAACAAAAGTGGTGATAAGATCTAAAAAGAATTACTTTATGAAAACTTTTGAGAGATTAGGCCTGCTAGAACTACATGTATATTTATTTTAGTAGAGGTTCTCTGTTTTTGTAGGCTGGTGTTCATTTTAATGGAGGGTCTTCATTTTCATAGAGGGGCTCTTATTTGTTTTTGTAAGGGTCCCCTTTTTTGTACAGGGTCTTCATTTTGATAGATCATAAGTTTTAGTGAAGAGAAATTTTAAAATCCACATTTCCCCATATTTCCTTCTCCTTGTCAAAAGTCTTTGTATTTGTCCCAGGTTCAAAGACAGGAATAGCAATGTGGTTCTTTTTAAAGGGGGTCTTCCTCCTTGTAGAAGGCTTTCACTTTCGTAAATGGTCTTTGTTGTTGTAGATCATACCGTAACATTCAGTGAAGAGAAATTAAATTCACAGATCCCCAATCCCTACCCTTGTTGAAAGCACTATAGTATTAAATTTTGTTCCAGGCTCAAAGATAGGGATAGCAATGCGGTTCTCTTAGCAGGGTCTTCCTTGTTTCAATAATGGAACTTCAAGTGTTCATTTTCTAAATCACCCTTCTTGATACTGCATAGTAAGAAAATCGTAAAAAAAGACATTAAACAAGTCTTTCTCTTACATGTTTATTTAATAAACTCTTTTCACTGAATTGCAGGGAACTAAATATTATGTGAAAAAATTTACTGCTGCAAGATAGTGTTCTTGCTCTTGTGCATAGCTCTAATTTACATCTGATTGAAAGTTTAAGCCACGTTATGGTTTTTCTTTACATTACATTTTGTTAAGTTATTGGTTTTATGTCTATGTGCAGAATTTTCTTTTTTTCTTTTAACTCTTGCTGCAATTGTGTTTTACTGAATAATGAAAAAAGTCGTACAAAATTAATGGTCTGGTTTGTTACAAAAAGTCAGGGACAAGAAAACTTCTAACCACGTACTGTAGTTGTCATAACTCTCGACCACTTTTAGGAATGCACGAAGCAGATCGTCTGCTTATGATTAACCAGATAAATCTGAACCTTGAAACAGCTTTCCCGCGGTTTGTGTGTCAAGAAAGTCTATCATTCATTTTACTCTTAAAATCTAAAGCCCTACACCGTAAGGTTAGTAAGTACATTGTACCATGCCACCTAGGATACATGTACATGTCAGAGTCAACATACACTGTTTAAATTTTTTTATGGCTCAATGAAATTTAATTTTATTGTAATTATTTTTGTTCCCTTTTGTCTCAAACTCCTTATTGTTAATAATGTTATTAACGATAAAGAGGGCAAACAACAGGACTGGAACTACCTCTAGTTATAGGTTTTCTAGCAATGAAGTGTCTAGGGTTGCATTCTAGAAAGCCCAGTTGGCTGGGCATCTTGGGTTGTTGCAGAATCGATATGGAGTAAAGATTTTAACTTGTGCTTTAGAGCTATGGGACTAGACTCAAACTTCTAATTTGAGTGATATCAACCAACAACATCTAATAAATTCAGCCATTACCTGTAGATGTGTAAGCCCGTGGATGTTGTTAAGATCATTTTAAAATATTGAATTTTCCCTTTTGACTCCTTGCGAGCATTGAAAGCGTTGCTTAAAGACAATAATTGATGGGATGATTAACAAACTTAACAGTTAGTTCACTAAAAGGGGAAGAACAGTACAATTAACTGTGGCGTTGAGAAAACAGTAAAGCGGGTTGATCAAGCCCTGTAATCCTGCAACTGAATTAGCGTCATTCTGTAAGGTAGAGGGTTTGATTCGATCCAGGCTTTGTTATACCTTAGTAAAATTGATGTTGAAATTAGTCAAGTTCGGGATTTTTTGTTGTTGTCGTAGAACTCTTTTTGTTGCTACGGAGATACGGAAAGGAACTCAGCACACTGTTGTTCGTCTTAGATTTACTTGAAACATTAATTGAGGAAAGAAAGATGTGCTAATATTATTTTCATTTGTCTTGGCTCTAACTTGGCTCATTCCGTGACGAAACACACTCGCAATGTTTTAATGGGATTGTCTCAATTAATGCCTCTGTTCTAAGCAACCATGCACCCTTTGCAAAGCAAATTTATAATAATTTGGACTCTTGAACACTAAAATACCCTGCTTAATTGATTTGTACTTTCTTAGTCTTTTAATTTAAGCTAGAGAACTCTCCGGGACTGTTTCATTTTTGACGGCATAGACGAGTTGTCACTTGATAATGTAGGCAACATGAGCATCAGTTGGATCCAGCATCTGCCATTGGTTGTTATAACCACCCCAGCCATAGTGAAGGAAGAATTCGTAGTCTTGGGCTGTGTTCCAGGTGCACCTGGTTTTCTTGACAGAGCACCGGTCCCAAGTCTCGCAGTGGCGATAGTTTCTTGATTTAGTGCGGTATTTTGTGGCAACCACTGAGTGCCCATCCTTTTTGCTGTATTGGAAGTCAAAAACAACAGGATATCCAATATCCAGCCACCTCTTTCCTATGATTCTTAACCATACAGCCGATTGTGGCTCCAGGTAACTGACAACACGTGCCTTTCCTCCCTGGCGGGCCTGAAACCATGGCTGGATGAGTCGCATCTTTTCAGGGTAAGTGGCACCCTCTCCATTGTCACAGAACGTTTTGACCTGTCGACGAATATCTTCCACAAAGTATTTCACCTTGTTTGTCAGTTTTTTTGGTGCTGTTTCATAACTGTGTCCGTATATTTTAGGACTAAATATCGAGGAAAATGATGATGCGCGGCGGTCGTAGTATCCAAAAACTTGAGCCCAGGCCACGGGACTACACCCGCTGTAACAATTACCACAACATTTGTGTTGATTATAATCGGGCATGTCATAGTCAGCACCAGCTACTCTTTTGTTACCGCTTCCTGGCGGAGAACGTCCGAACCGTTTTGATTGTAAGTTAATTGCATAGTGTTTTGTGGCCGATTGGTGATTGTACATCTGGATTCTGATTTCAAAACCTAGTTCACGGCCTTCTAATATCCTCTTCACAAATACCGGGTTCCCATGGATTTCGAGTTTTAAATAAACTAGGTTGTTGGGTGTTTTCTTCACAGCAAATGGATTCACTTTGGATGTACCATTTAGACAGACGTCAACAAGCACTTTACAGAGTTTGTGTTGCCATGTTGCTTTTGTTGATTTTGAATTGGGATGAAAACCACTTTTGCCAAAACTTGTGACGTAGATATTAAGTGACTTGAACTTTTCACCAAGGGCGACTTTTACAACTGATCCAGGTGAAAGGGCTTCTTCGTCAGTTACTTTCTTCTTTCGTGTTTTGCCCGTGTCTGTTGTTGCCCAGTCTAGAACTGTTCGACGTTCTTTTGCTCTCTTTCTCCACATCTCTTGGAACTCATTTAGGCTTGTCTTCACCATCTGGTCTAGTATGTGCCAGTTGTCAATCTGTTTAGAGTGGGAAGTGGAATTTGGCTTTAATAACATTCAAATATGAAGTGGTCATGGGATGGTGACGTCAACAAATTTCATTAAAGAAGGCAAAATAGGGAGAAAACTATAGAATGGTTAACAATTTGCCTACTCTTGACCTCAAGGAGAACATGTTGTAAGACAGACTTTCTCAATTTCAGTGATAAATGCTCCACTGTATATTTCAAACATATTTTATCCTGTTTTCTCAATTGAATCCTTCAAACTCCCTGTAATTTGCATCTGATCACTGTTTTAACAATTGCTCTTCATTAGATACTTGCTTAAAATAAGCAATCGAAAGTTCTTGTTCAAAACATGAGGTTTCTCTTACAGGCCACAAGTGAAGTTCACTTAATGTCTTATTGATGTATTTTACTAAAGAGTTTTTTTGGGGGCTTAGAACCCGATAAAACCTGATCATACTCACTTGCTTAGAACTAAAGGAACGATCCTTGCAGCAGTGCATGCAATTAAAATTGACAAAGACATTGTCTTTGATAAGCGTAGAAAGGCTTCCGAGACTTTGAGCTCTATTTCATAAGAATTTTAAGTCAAACAAAACAGAGAGAAGTGTTTTTGAGCAGTGGGGGTAAAAAGAGAAATAGAAGGAAAGAAACGTTGCTTTGTTAAAAATTATCCAGGCTTGAATGCAATTTCTTTCATCACCAGGTTAATTTTTGTAGGGCTATCTGTAACATAAATACAATAATGCAAAACAAAAAAAAATACCTCAGCAACATCAGCTGTCCAGTTGTAACTTGCTGCCACAACGGTTCCCTTGTAGTTGTTGCAAATTGTCAGTCCCACTGGTGACAATCGATAGAACTTCTCACACTTCTGACCATTTTTGTTAGCCTGCTGTATCAGGAGATCCGTTGGTCTTGGATCTGGGCCACTCTGTACTTCTCTAAAGTCTCCGGTTTTAGGGCCAGAGGATAGTATGACGTAGTCTTTTCCAGTGTCTATTTCGTAGTAGGCCACATACTTTGGGCCTAGGTCGAGTCGATATATTGAACGAGTAGGCCCTCGCTCATCAGATACATTGACTTTCATCAGATCTTTGAAGTCATCAAACTCACTAAGCTCTACCAGCGAATCCAGGACTTCATACGGAAGCTCAGACATTCCTGGCTTGGGAACCAAAATGATGATACCCAGGAGGATAAAACCTTTGGCATATGACAGTGACATTTTGTTCCGAAGACTAGCTACCTTGTTAAGGTGACAAAGAAAAGAAAGCCGGATCAGGATAATAACATATCTAAGGCAACTAATTTTCTTAAATTTGCGGAGTGTGAAAAATGCGCGGTATAGAAACTGCGAAGTGTAGAAAAAGACTGATTGTTCAGGGGCACCCAACGACGGTTTCCTCCGAAATGCATTGAAAACACTTTTTAGGCTGCCCAGTGTACTTTAAGATATCTAGGAGTGCATTCAAAGCGGTGCTATAAAATTTGTATCTGTTCTGTCATCCTAGGGGAACTTGAATCTTTTCGAAATTACGAGGGCTTCAGTATTATCTTCCCAAAAATTTTAGATGCAATTTAACGTTTTACGAAAGTGAGAATTTTTCTATTTTCCTCTCTCCGTTACCTTTTTGAATCCGAAAATTTTAGGTTTCCTTTTCCTACGAAAAATAGCCAAGATGGGCAGTGAAATGTGAAAAATAAAGTTCAGAAAACCGTAGGGAATTTAGTAGACAAGCCTCAAAATGTTTTCGTTAATGTACGGTTTTCTTCTTGCACCCGATATACTAGAAAGCATTGCTTTTCTCTACTGCACATCTGAGAGGTTCTCCGAACCAACCAGATACCCATGTAGATCAAGACGTTTCACTCAGTCCCAGCGGTCAATAAATCAATCCTCCGCGGTTTTATATTTTCGTACGCGCGCCCGACGACTAAAACGAAATTAGAACGCCTGTGAACAGACTAAATTCTCAGCCAAATTGTCATTGAGATATCAACGATCTAATTTACAAGTTGATGATGCAGTCATCCCGTAGGCCATTAAAATCGAATTTTGTTAGAGATAATCGGTTATGTTTATTGGGGGGAGTACATATTCTTTTACCTTTTAGCTGTCTCGCAGTCCTTAGTGGTTTTGTAATTTATCTAAGCACAGTTGAACTTCCCAATGTCGAGCAACTCAGAGTTGTGCCAACTTTGCCATCGGGAAGCGCTATTTATTTTAGAGTGCTAAGTTCCGAATCATTGTTTTCCAAGAACATGAAAAAAGAAAATTCTAACGTGCCAGGCCTCTCAACTGCTTGCCGCAAATTTATGCCCTGCAGCTAATCACTTGCGTCATGTTTTCAATTATACTATTGAAAACGAACTCCTAACACCTTCGAATAAACCGCGGCAGATACCAAGATGAACGAGTTGTTTAATAGAAGCAAGAGACGCAATTAAAAACTTCATCCAGCTGTTCATCTAACTATTTGTAACATCAATGACTATTTGTAACATGGCGAGGCCCTTAATAACTCAGTTTACGATCGCGGAAACTTCATGTAAAAGTTATGAGCAAATCGCTAGAGGCGAGGGAAAATTGACTGTACCCCCTATGCGAGTTCCACGTATTCGAAACCGAAACCCGCTTTCTTTCACATCGTCCCAAATACTCTACAATAAAGTCCGTTGAAATCCTAAATATCAGACGGTGATCCGCCACGAAAATAACCGGAGTTTTTATAACTCCAAATGAGTGTTAAGTAAACGAACAATTGATAAAGTTTATGTCTTCCGTAGGTGATGTAATTTCATTTAAAATTTTGTTGATTGTTTTTACCAACATTCTGTGGATTCTAATTTTTTTTAAGACTCACGGTCCCAGCGAATTTGGACTTTATAGAAGTTAACGCGACTTAAGGTGACTCGACCCAGTTTTTTGGGGGGGTACCATCCTACTTTGAAGCTCTCTGGTATCCCCACCTTCACTCTTATCGTACGTCTAACACATAGAATGGATAACATATAGATCAATCTACAATATAACATAAAATTTTTGACGATCGGAGTAAATGTCACGTGGTTATAATGTCACGCCCCTTTGAGGTATGAGTCGAAATCTGCTGTTGCCGGCATTTTTTCGTGAAAATCTCTCGGCTACACATAGTGCGCATTAGTGCCTTGCCTTGAACACAGTTTCACCAAAATCGGTGAGCATTTGGACGTCAGCCAAGCGCGGTCATTGCACGCGTGCTGAACAAGAATCAGTGCTGTATCATGACCGACTAGAAACAATAGACAACTCCCAAAGCACAGACTCATCCAAAACGCTAAAAATCTTCAATGTTTACTCAAGTTTGGGCTTATAGAAGATAATGTCACAGTTTTTCAATGACCATGAAATTCAGAGTCCGGGTAGTTAGTTACTCAATTGTGGCCCTGAAAAAATTTGAAGAAAAAAAAATTACGAATTTTTAAGAAAATGCTTTTTTCGTGAGAAGGACTCTTAAACGTTGACAAACGTCAACAAATAGCGAAAACTATAATTTCTATATGTTTGCTTTTCTCGAAATCGCGCGCATTTACAAGGCCCAAAAGCGTTTTGCTGACTTGCAAGGACCCATCTGTTATAACGATGTCCAAAATAAAGGGATGAATCTCATAGTTTATTAGATATAATCGTGTAAAGTTTGCTTATCATTTTCGCATAAATTATGACCTAAATTTGGAAACCGCTGAATTTCTCGAATTGGGTCTTTGCGATTTTGGTGAAACTGTGTTCAGCGCAAGGCACTAATGCGCACTATGTGTAGCTGAAAGATTTTCACGAAAAAATGCCGGCAACAGCAGATTTTCGACTCATACCTCAAAGGGGCGTGGCATTATAACCACGTGACATTTACTCCGATCGCCAAAAATTTTATGTTATATTTTAGACTGATCTATATGTTATCCATTCTATGTGTTAGACTTGCGATAAAAGTAAAGGTGGGGATACCAGAGAGCTTCAAAGTAGGATGTCACTCCCCCCCAAAAACTGGGTCGAGTCACGTTAAAGAAACACGAATTGGAAAAAAAAACTTTTAAATAAAGGAAATCGCGACGTACACAGGAAACAGACAAAATGAGCAACTTTAAGTGTATAATCTGTAATACGAACAATGCCGTGGCACTTTCCCTATTAATAGGGAGTGAAGAGAAAGAATCTGGCCACTTTGAATGTTCCTCATAGTAGTGCGCGCGCGCTTTTGCGGCTTCGCCGCTCAGTAGTGCGTTCGACAAAACCGCCATGCTACGAAGGCTATCCTCATAGTTCCACTGGACTTCCACGGTGACAAAATAATGCCCGAATGTCTAAAGTTTTTTCAAGAATTTGAGGCCAAATATTCACTGAAAAATCAAACGACTCGATGGACACTGCCATTAAACTGGGTAAAACACTGGGGTGAAACATTAAATATAAACTAGGGGTACCTTCCGGCAAGTGCCAACAGGAGTGAATGTTTTATTAAAAACACTGAAATCTTTTGAACAAGATTCTTGCTTGCGGCCGAGTCGCCGTTGCCGATCACTGCGCTGCGAAGATCTTTCTTTGGCAAAATAATATGTTCCAAAACGAAAAGACACGTCTTTTTTTCTTTTAATGTAGCGAATAACCAGTCGGCTATTCAGCAAAATACAATTCTTGCATGTGCAAAGATGCTGAAGTAGCGCCGTTGTTTTAGCCTTACATAATTTTTCCCGTAATGGAGGTTGGGAGAAATAATTTGTTGCCATGGTTGTGTAGTGGAGGTTTTGTTTAACAAGCCTAAAAGCGCAGCTCTTTTGTTTAATAAGCACAATTTATTTGCTTATAAAGCAAAAAGGGCGCGCATAATAAACAAATAAGTGTAATAAACAAAAAAGACAGGCTTTTTTGTTAATACTAGGGGTACCTTCCGTCAAGTTCCAACGAGGCGAATTCGTTTATCTTTTGTGGAATGTGCCTATTTAGATCTTCGCGATATTTTGTTTATAATTTTAGAGGTTTAAAATGGATTCCGCTTTAGAAAAGGATGGCACCCAACTTCAAAAGAACAACTTTGGCACATTCTAGGCTTTCACTTTTATTGAACAATAACAGCATGGCTTGAAGCTTTGTTGGTAAATATGAGCAACTTAACACTTATGTTTCATGGAAAATTCCATTGTATCAAAGCTTTAAACGTTAGAAAGAAAAATATAGTTCAAATGAGGCCTTTGACTGCTGAAATTAAAAATAATAATTAAATTCCGAGCAACAACGTCATCAGGGATAAGAAAAATATTTCGCGTGGTAATATACATAAGACAAAATATGGTGTAAGGTAAAATGTGTGAAAAGCGCGCAAGAATGGGGCGGAATGTATTAGAGGTATAAAAATATAAACTTGAATAAAACACAAAGATCTAATGAGCGAGTGTCACAGGACAAAGAGTCTCTTGAAAGGCATAATGATAGTCTGAAAAACAAAAGGTCCGCAAATTCGTTGCATTCCTCACGGGAGTTTTGGGCTGTCTCAATGTAAATCGAGCAGCAAAAAAACATGCTGGTTGACAAAATCTCTCGAAAGACATAAATAAATTCTAAAAAAAAGGTCCGCAAATACGTTTCATCCCTCACGAAAGGTGAGATCTGCCTCAATGAAAATCGACCTGCGAAGAACACGCTGGTTCTGATATATGTTTTGAGAATATAACCCTATGGCTTGATCAACTACCGCTTAAAATTCAATTCACAAAGCAAAAGAGAACACTGAAAACCCTGGCTCTGAGTCGAGAAGCGAATACGCTACCTCAATGTAAATCGAGCTGCAAAGAACAAGCTAGTTCTGACAAAAATTTGAGCGTAAAACCCAATTCCTTGATCAGCAGCTGCTTTAAACACAATTTATAAAGCAAACCAGAGCACTAATTGCTCTTCCAAACTAGAAATCGTATTAAAGCTTGCTCACCAGTTAGGTCCTCTTGAACAGACAACGAACAGCTGCACACTGAATCACCCAATCTTGAACCACGAGTTGTAAATACAAGACCATGACGTCACTACCCAAATATGGGGTCTTGCTTACACCCAAATATGGTCAAAAATGCAAATTTTAGAGGGTTACGCAGAATTTGAGAGTTTTTGCCTACATTGCGCGGCGTTATAATTCTGGAGCCGAGTCAACCTTGCTTCTTAGCTCGGTTGCCTCGTTGGCAATAAAGCCTATTCTACAAACATTCTGACAGTCCGGAAACAATCTGACTCCTGTTCAGTCAGTTTCTTTCTCTTTTCTTCCTCAAATGTCGTTCTTTCGGTCTTATGCGCATCCTGTATGTAAATAACACTTTGAACACGTTTTTCTGCTTTCGATATCAGCAAAAATACGCCCATGTTATTCTTGTCAATTCCTGTAAAATTTCTTGGTAAGTAATTAGCGCATATGAAAAGAGTCTTCCCTTGAAAATTCTATCTTTGAAAGAAATGATTATAATTTTGTACGCCTGCTTATTTTCCTACAGTCTGTATATTATTTTAAAAGCGAAATGTGGCTTTACAACGCTCAACCTCGCTCGCTCGGCTTACCAGTAAATCCGCCCCGAAATTGAGCTTTTTCTACTCATTTCACGTTTACAAAAGTGAAAGAAAAAATTATCTTAGGACATTCCAAGTAGAACAGCAACACTTTTTTTATTTCAGCTGAAATGGATTATTCGAAGTCTGATTTAATAAAACAAGAACAGCTTAGCGAAATCAGCCGGAAATGAAATGAACAGTGTTGACGAAATTCCAGCGCACAGGTCAAGTTCCACTTTAGTTTCACTTTATATATATTAAACAAAAAGTGGAAATTTGCATGTTATACATAAATACCCTATTCTGAATTACATGCCACATCACGCATCACGCGCAACAGTTATAGAATTATAGAATGATTTACTTCAATAATTCACGTGTTAAACTCTAATAGTGGAAGAAATTCGGTCCCTTATGGCTAGCCATTTGACCTTGTCCGAGCCTTGCTGCTCATCTTTTTTCCCCTTCGCTGACAACTAACAGGAAAGAGTGTTTGAGACTAATACCTTTTTCCGTACAAACATTGACATATTGAAATGTTTTTTTTTTTTACAATATACAACTGAATTTATCAGATTTTCCTTACCTCTTAGTCTTAATTAAAAAAATAGGTTTCATCAACTCATAATCGTGTGGTGAGGGTAAAAGACGGAATGAGTTTGGGAAATGGCATGTGCATGGCATGGCTTGTGGACATAATTATGCGGAATGTAATATACGCAGAATGACCCAAAGAAATATATGAAAGTGAAGAGTGCGCCCTTTTTTGGCGCCAATCAATTTGCAAACGGGGCCGCATTTTTTAATATTGCGGGCTCCACATACGGTGACAATCAAGAAGCCAAGAAGGACTCCTTGATTTCTCACAATCGATTAGCCTTTTCCGCACACCACATTTACGCTCATAAAGTGAACTTCGACCAGTCTATTTTGCAAAGTTTGCGGAACACTTTAATTTTGAGGGAAGGAGCACTTCATTCCAGAACTTGGCTGCATAACTCTAAAGGACAACTTAAAAAGAGTTGTTTTCTTTATTGAAACCCAAGATCGACGAAGTCAGTGAACTGTTTGCTAGTTTTCCTCTTCAACATCTTGTATCAAAATTCAAATGACAGTTCTGACAGTGCTGAAGTTGAAATGCTAAACGCTATAATTTTTAATGTTTCGATCGTCACATGCCTCTCACTGAAGCTTAATTAAGTTTCAAGTCCTCCGAGTAGCGCCATGGCTGAAAATACTAAAAAAAAAGCCTTCAATATTCGACAATTGCCTGAACTTCATTCCGTGTAGCTATACTAAGGCTCGCAAGGTCGAATAAAAGAAAAGGATAAGGAAAACTGAGCTTGATTTCTACCACGAGCTTCTCTCTAATCCACAACCGCTGAGAGCGGATCCGAAATAAGGTGAATGCGCGCGCATTTTGCCACAAACGCAAGGCAAGGCGCTTAACTGGGACTAATTACTGCTATAGAAAATAGTAGGAAGTTGAAGAGACTTTACTTTTTGTCGGACGACAGCCAAGGGAAGACTCTTTTCATATGCGCTAATTACTTATCAAGAAATTTTACAGGAGTTGACAAGAATAACATGGGGGTATTTTGCTGATTTAGTGGAAGTTTTGTTTAATAAGCCTAAAAGCGCAGCTCTTTTGTTTAATAAGTACAATTTTTTTGCTTATAAAGCAAAAAGGGCGCGCGTTTTTGCTTATTAAGAAAGAAAAACCATTTTCCTCAGGTTTAATAAACAAAGCTTGCATTTTAAACTGGTGTAATAAACAAAAAAGACAGGCTCTTTTGTTTAATACTAGGGGTACCTTCCGGCAAGTTCCAACGAGGCGAATTCGTTTATCTTTTATGGAATGTGCCTATTTAGATCTTCGCGATATATTTTTTTATAATTTTAGAGGTTTAAAATGGATTCCGCTTTAGAAAAGGATGGCACCCAACTTCAAAAGAACAACTTTGGCACATTCTAGGCTTTCACTTTTATTGAACAATAGCAGCATGGCTTGAAGCTTTGTTGGTAAATATGAGCAACTTAGCACTTATTTTTCATGGAAAATTCCATTGTATCAAAGCTATAAACGTTAGAAAGAAAAATATAGTTCAAATGAGGCCTTTGACTGCTGAAATTAAAAATAATAATTAAATTCCGAGCAACAACGTCATCAGGGATAAGAAAAATATTTCGCGTGGTAATATACATAAGACAAAATATGGTGTAAGGTAAAATGTGTGAAAAGCGCGCAAGAATGGGGCGGAATGTATTAGAGGTATAAAAACATAAACTTGAATAAAACACAAAGATCTAATGAGCGAGTGTCACAGGACAAAGAGTCTCTTGAAAGGCATAATGATAGTCTGAAAAACAAAAGGTCCACAAATTCGTTGCATTCGTCACGGGAGTTTTGGGCTGTCTCAATGTAAATCGAGCAGCAAAAAAACATGCTGGTTGACAAAATCTCTCGAAAGACATAAATAAATTCTAAAAAAAAATGGTCCGCAAATACGTTGCATCCGTCACGGAAGGTGGACTGGCTGAATTTAAATCGACCTGCGAAGAACACGCTGGTTCTGATATAAGTTTTGAGATTATAACCCTATGGCTTGATCAACTACCGCTTATAATTCAATTCACAAAGCAAAAGAGAACACTGAAAACCCTGGTTCTGAGTCGAGAAGCGAACGCGCTACCTCAATGTAAATCGAGCTGCAAAGAATAAGCTAGTTCTGACCAAAAATTGAGCGTAAAACCCTATTCCTTGATCAGCAGCTGCTTTAAACACAATTTATAAAGCAAACGAGAGCACTAATTGCCTTTCCAAACTAGAAATCGTATTAAAGCTTGCTCACCAGTTACAATCTTGGACAAAACGGTTGAGAAAATTGCATACTTGTGGGGCATTGTTTCTAAACTTCGTAGCCGACCGATTCTTCCCTTCCCCCCTCCCCCTGGAAGCAGTGTTGTTGGGTCTTTAAAGGAAAGCCGGATCTCTAAGCATTTGCAGGAAGCAACTTTGAACTGGGGGAGGGGGTTTTCTTTACGCAAAGCCGTTGATTTGGAAATAGTTTTGTTGCGTTAGGTAGTGCGCATCAATGGTTGAGCTCACACTAGACACTTTACTATGGTAAAAAGGGCTTTACTATGGTAAATCTCGTAAATCTCGTTCTCGTAAATCTCGTTCTTTACTGTAGTAAACCTGACAGGTCCACTTAAAAAGGCATTTGAAACTTTCCAGGCCTTTTTTCTCGCGTGATCGGTAACGTGAGAGTGAAAAGTAACAAATGATGACGTGCCATAAGAGCTGACTCAATATTGAAGTTACTGAACTGTAACTTCCTGAGCGTGACCCTCACAAGTGCACAAAGATGGATCAGTTTGAGAAAGTTATGTTTTCTGTTGTGAGCAGTTTGCTTTTAATTCTTCTGCTCAGACGAGCAAGAAGAATGCGCTCCCTTATTACCTACCTTCATTGGTTTCGAATACGAAGTTAGTGAAGATGTTTTAGCGACGGGTTCATTGATTATCCATCGAAGACGCAATCTTACAGAAAGAGCGGCATTGCGAAGGCAAGCGTGGGTTTACCCTCGACCCCAGGAATGGTTTGAAGAAATGTACAGAAACAGAAACCTTGAAGTACTGTGGAAAAAGCATTTCAGGGTGACCAGAGATACATTTGACTATATTTGCCAGCTGCACGCGAATCCACGCGAATAAAGACAATTACCGATGTTCTAAAGCTATTTTGTTTATATGTGAGCCTTTTTGATACTACTTTCCTCAAAAATCATGACAAACTGTCAACAAAACAAACAAAGTTTAGATAAAGTAGAGATATACCCACCTATTTTTTTTGGTAACCAGATGGTTATCGGTGATGGGTCATCTTTGTTCTTTCCGCTGTAGCATGGAAATTAACCAGAGTAAAGTTTACCATAGTAAACCGAAAAATGCCGGTCACACTTACGGTGCCTTTTACTATGGTAAACTTGAGTTTACTACAGTAAACTTTCCCTAGTGTGACCTCAACCAATGAAAACATTTTCTCAAGTAGTTTTGTCCAGGATTGTATTTAACTGGGAAAGTCGATTTTGAGTATTTAACGCGTGCACATAAATCTGTTCTTTCTGTATTTCATACATTTCACAGAAACGTAGATAATTAATGGAAAATAAGTGACAACAGAGGAGTTGATGACGAGAAAATCAACTTGTATGTCTTTCTTGATTCAAGTAGCCAGTCATAAACGTTTGTGAATGTCATTTTCCATGCAGGGTTTTTACGCGCCCTTTGAGTGCAGAGGAGCAGGCATACATTACGTTTATGGCGGACGAGAAGGACGTCTCCGTCAAGGCGATTAGCCAGAAAACGGGAATTTCACCTGCTACAATTCGACCAACAAATAACACATGAAACTTTTTGCTGAATTTTCAGAGCGCGTGACCCATACTTTGAACAATTTTCCCATCGCCGACATAGATAAAACAATCAAAGTCAATGAACAAGCGCTTGCCATTAATAACAGCATCAAATGGAGAGAGGATTAAGTATCAACAAAACTTGTATTTTTACTTTCCAAATTTGAAAGCTTACTTTTGACATTGTAGCGATGTCCAGTGCGAAAAATCACACTATGAAATCTAGAAATGTCACGCGCGGTAACGTGACAAGATGTACTATCGTGTGACCTGTGAGCTTAAGACTGCATGTTTTGCCCTCGGGCTATTTATAGCTACATATGACTGGAAGAACTTATGAGATCAATTCATCATTTGTAGAGCAAGATATAGTAAAAATTGCCACAGTTGTTCTGTAATCTCTTTCTCTCCTCAATATCTAAGTTTCGGAACGATTAACAGGACATTTTTAAGGTGCTACCAAGATTAGCAACGGTTAACAACGATTAACAAGGACGTTTCATAAGAATCAGAAGGTCATTTACTTTTAAAAACGAAATGGTGTTAACCGTTTCAATGTTTTGTTAATCGTAACATTATTCTATCCATGGAATTATAAAAAGTTAACCGACTTGTAGCAAACGAGGTTTCTGTAACCCTCATAGTTTAGCCAATTTTAAGATCTGAGAAGCATTTTCCACCTGACGCGATACGTTTCCTTATTGGCTTCACTATACGTCACTAAACAAACACTACGAACTTCTTTTCTTCTAAGAAAACCGTCATCCAAGTCTTGTTCTGACTCTTCTGAAAACTATAAATCACTTTCCACACTTTCCATGCCTGCCAGGTTTGAACAACACGAAAACATGTAACAATGAGCACGCGTTCTACGGCTACTGCAAAATCGCACTGTTTTAAGAGGGTGCAGCAAAAAACGTATATGAGGTCGTACTTTTCTATGAGAAGATGGTGTGTCGTGAAACTTTGTGCTCAAAACAGCTTCTGTAAAGTGCTTTTTATTGGTAGGTTTCCGTTTTGTCCATGTTAATATTCTCGCTAAAAAACGTGAATCACCTTATATACAATCTTGGACAAAACGGTTGAGAAAATTGCATACTTGGGGGGCATTTTTTCTAAACTTCGTAGCCGACCGATTCTTCCCTTCCCCCCTCCCCCTGGGAGCAGTGTTGTTGGGTCTTTAAAGGAAAGCCGGATCTCTAAGCATTTGCAGGAAGCAACTTTGAACTGGGGGAGGGGGTTTTCTTTACGCAAAGCCGTTGATTTGAAAATAGTTTTGTTGCGTTAGGTAGTGCGCATCAATGAAAACATTTTCTCAAGTAGTTTTGTCCAGGATTGTAGGTCCTCTTGAACAGACAACGACCAGCTGCTCGCTGAATCACCCAATCGTGAATTACGAGTTGTAAATACAAGACCATGACGTCACTACCCAAATATGGGGTCTTACTTACACCCAAATATGGTCAAAAATGCAAATTTTAGAGGGTTACGCAGAATTTGAGAGTTTTTGCCTACATTGCGCGGCGTTATAATTCTGCCGCCGAGTCAACCTCGCTTCTTAGCTCGGTTGCCTCGTTGGCAGTAACCGCTCAAAACAACTTGAAGAAGATTGAAACGGATTGCATTTGTGGTTTTTGAAAGCTTGTTGGCCTAAGAGCTTTTCAAAGTTCACTTTTGTTGTATATAACGTTTGATATAATGCTTTGGAGGCTTATTTGTTTGACACAACTCTGTTATGTTCTCATTCGCATTTATTAATTTCTCAAGTTCCATAGCGAATGAGGACGCGTAATTAACATTATTAAGATTATAAACAATATGAACTAGACAACCGTGACACAAGTCAACGCTCCATTTAATTAGTGGTGCGCAAATTAACCAGGGGCACCCAACGACTGTTTTCTGTAAAATATCTGTTCGCAGAAGCAAAAATTGCCTAGAATTTTCTATAACTTGAGGAAGGCTAAAAATGTCTAGATGACTGTTCCATTCATGTACAATTTTCGAAGCTTAATAAATCCCCCTACTTACTGAAGTTTAATTTTTCGCATTTGCACTCCCCAGCCGGGTTAAGCTATTTCTCGTAGAAAAAGAAAACCTAAAATTTTTCAATTTAAAAAAAATGTGAGGGAGAAAGGAATAAAAAAAATATTCTTACTCTTGTAAATCTTTAGACTACATCTAAAATTTTCGGGAAAATCATACTGATGCCCTCGCAATTTCGAAAAGTTCTAGCCGTAGGATGACCAAACAGATACAAAGTTTCATAGCGCCGCTTAAAATTCATTTCTAGAGATCTAAAAGTTTTCTGCATGGCCTAAAAAGTGTATCCATTGCATTTAAAAGGGAACCGTCGTTGAGGGCCTCTTATTAGCGTTTAAAAATTACAAAAATTATCGCGACTTAAAACGTTACTTTGATGAAGCTGTAATAAGGTTGTGGTAACAGAATCGATTAAGGCTTGTATGAAAGTGACGTAGAACGAGGACGTCGTCTCCTGAAAGTGACCGTTCACGGGAATTTTCGCCGTTTGCGACCGCTTGTCGTATAAAAATTATACCTCTCGTTAGTGTCCGCAGCTTTTTACGCCGGGAATTATAGGGGTTTGTCAAGGAGACGGTAAGTAGAGCTGTTCGCTTATGAGTGTTCCTTGAAAGGGTTTTGATTGAGTTGTTGTCTGCTGTCACATGGAAGCACGAATGATTTTCACTCCTTGCGACACGCATGTTCTTTTCATTCATAATAGATTTCCGGCATTAAATAATTATCAGTGAATTATATCATCAGTTTAGTTGTAGAATCGAAGTTTCCGCATTGTTCCCTGTGTCGCCGTAAAGGGTTAGGTATATTATGAGAACCTACACCAACCATGCACTTCCAGTAGTATGTTAAATGAACTGTTTCAATCCGCAGAATGTTTTCCTTTGGACATTATTTGTTCGGTGAAGAAGACTCTCCACACAGATCTGAGAGTCTAAAGTGACTGTTTGTCATGAATTAAACTTTAAGAAATCATTTCTTTAGATTAGTAATCGTGGAACTGAACCTTTCGATAGTCGATACAACCGCTTTTTGCCTCGATATGTCAGACAACGGAAGTCTTAACGTACGCCACTGGAATAAAACTTGCATGAAAAGCCAGATTGAGTGAGTTACGATGTGTATATGCATCAGTTGACTTTCCACTCTTTTAGAACATTTTTTTTATTTGCTTTTCCATACTTTGATCCCTCACTACATATTCTCAGTGATGGTTGTGTTCGATCTAATCCGGTCGTGTTTATGAGCCAGGGGCACCCAACGAAGATTTCCTCCTAAATACGTTGAAAACACTTTTTAGGCTATCCAAAGTAGTTTTAGACCTCTAGAAATACATTCTTTAAGCGGTGCTATGAAACTTGTATCTGTTCGGTCATCCTAGGGGACTTTGAGTCTTTTCAAAATTTCAAGGGCTTCAGTATTATATTCCCGAAATTTTTAGATGCGATTTATCGCTTTACGAATGTGAGAATTTTTCTTATTCATATTTCAATCACATTATTGAATCCGAAAATTTTAGGTTTTCTTTTTCTACGAAAAACAGCATTACTCGGGGAGTGAAATGCGAAAAATTAAGCTTCAGAAAGTATATTAACATAGATTTTTTGCATGCATATATAAATAATATTTTTATCTAGTGTCCGTTTATTAACTATTTAGAAAAGCTGTAATTTTTCATCCATTTCATTGTAGTATTATAAGCATTGTAATGTAAAGCGCATTAGATTATATACCCATGTATTTTGCGCGGTATAAATAATAAAGTTATGTTAATAATATGTTATGTTATGTTAGAAAGTCGTAGGAAATTTAATAGATAAGTTTCGAAAATTGTATATGGAGGGAACCGTCATCCCGAAATTTACGTCCGTGCCTCAAGTAATAGAAAATTTTTACGCAATTTTTGCTTCTCCGAACAGATATTTTACAGAAAACAGTCGTTGGGTACCCCTGATGAGACTGTCTCTTCAAATTAACTTATACGATGGTAACAGATAATTTAGAATCAACTGTGGTTGTCTTGTCTTTTCTTCCCCCCTTAAATTTAGAAATGCCTCAGGTGCAAAACTGAACAGTTCATCCATAACTGTTTATACTTGTTTTCCAAGTGATTTTTTATCAGTTATATTGATTATTCGCTTGTTGTTTGGAAGAGGTAGTGAATAAGTCTTCCCACTCGAGCCCTCTTGAACTGGACGATATTTAAGTTGAAAGAACAGTAAAACCGCATTAAAGATTATCTTAAGAACTTGTTTGGAGCGAATGTTGAAACTTTTACTGATTTTACTTAACAAGGAAAACATTAAAAAAGGACCTGATCACAAGCTAAACCGGCGCATTCTTACCAGTTTGATTTCTAAAACACTACTTACAGCTCGTAGACTTGACAGTGTCAATATTTTGCAACGCAGTTTCAGTTACGGCAACCCAAGCTCACGTTAAGAAAGATTTTACACCATGACGTTTACAAATTCAAAATTAATAGAGAGTTCGAAATTATAATTGTTTGCCTTTAATATCTGTCTGTTGTATTTGTCTTCACTTGTGAGCTCTTATTATCTTGAGATTATACACGTAATAAAGGCTTGTGGGCTTGTGTGGGGCTCGCGATATCGGGCGCATTAATAAATAGAAACAGGAAGAATTATTTTGAGTTTACACCTGACTCAAAATTCCACTACTGGCTGGAAAATCGTCTGAAAATCGTTGTTAACAAGATTATTTAGCACCATTACATAATTATAACTATGCCAGTGTCTTCCCCAAATACTCGCCAATAAAGTGCGTTGAAATCTTACAGGGGCACCCAACAACGGTTTCCTCGTAAATACATTGAAAACACTTTTTAGGCTGTCCCGCGTACTTTTAGATCCATAGAAATGTATGCTAAGTGGCGTTATAAAATTTGTATCTGTTCGGTCATCCAAGGGGAACTTGAATCTTTTCGAAATAACAAGGGTTTTAGTTTTATTATCCCGAAAATATCAGATGCAATTTAACGTATTACGAAAGTGAGAATTTTTTCTGATTTGTTTCTTCATCATTCTTGAATCCGAAAATTTTAGGTTTCCTTTTTTCTGCGAAAAATAGCCTAACCTCGGGAGTGAAATGTGAAAAAATAAACTTAGAGAAAATAGTAGGGCATTTATTAGATTCGCTTCGAAAATTGTACATGAATAGAACGGTCATTTTTAGTATGAGAAAATAGAAGGGATTCCTGTCACGAGTTGGTTTAATTATTGGCTTGCATTAAACCTATGAAAAAATGATATTTTTTAATAGTAAGTAGATTTAGTGTGTAGCACTTCTTGATTTTTTTTTTTTGCAAAGGCACAAGAAGCACAAGAATTGATTAAAAATTGTGAGTTAAACCTCTTTGTATCACGCGATGGCCTGTCTCACTGTACCAAAATTATCACATCTCGGTGAGCATTCGGAAGTCAGCCAAGCGCGGTCATTACACGCGTGCTGAACAAGAATGCTGTATAATGACAGACTAGAAACAATAGACAACTCCCAAAGCACAAACTCAGCCAAAACGCTAAAAATCTTCATTGTTTACTCAAGTTTGGGCTTATAGAAGATAATGTCACAGTTTTTCAATGACCATGAAATTCAGAGTCCGGGTAGTTAGTTAATCAATTGTGGCCCTGAAAAAATTTGAAGGAAAAAAAACTACGAATTTTTAAGGAAATGCTTTTTTCGTGAGAAGGACTCTTAAACGCCGACAAACGTCAACAAATAGCGAAAACTATAATTTCTATATGTTTGCTTTGCTCGAAATCGCGCGCATTTACAAGGCCTTAAAGCGTTTTGCTGACTTGCAAGGACCCATCTGTTATAACGATGACCAAAATAGAGAGACAAATCTCATAGTTTATTAGATATAATCCGTGTAAAGTTTGCTTATCATTTTCGCATAAATTATGACCTAAATTTGGAAACCGCTGAATTTCTCGAATTGGGTCTTTGCGATTTTGGTGAAACTGTGTTCAGCGCAAGGCACTAATGCGCACTATGTGTAGCCGAGAGATTTTCACGAAAAAATGCCGGCAACAGCTGCAGATTTTCGACTCGTACCTCAATGGGACGTGGCATTATAACCACGTGACATTTACTCCGATCGCCAAAAATTTTATGTTATATTGTAGATTGATCTATATGTTATCCATTCTATGTGTTAGACTTACGATAAAAGGAAAGGTGGGGATACCAGAGAGCTTCATAGTAGGATGTCACTCCCCCCAAAAAACTGCGTCGAGTCACCTTAAAGAAACACGAATTGGAAAAAAACTCTTAAATAAAGGAAATCGCGACGTACACAGGAAACAGACAAAATGAGCAACTTTAAGTGTATAATCTGTAATACAAACAATGCCCGTGGCACTTTCCCTATTAATAGGGAGTGAAGTGAAAGAATCTGGCCACTGCGAATGTTCCTCGTAGTAGTGCGCGCGCGCTTTTGCGGCTTCGCCGCTCAGTAGTGCGTTCGACAAAATCGCCATGCTACGAAGGTTATCCTCATAGTTTCACTGGACTTCCACGGTGATAAAATAATGCCCAAATGTCTAAAGTTTTTTCAAAAATTTGAGGCCAAATATTCACTGAAAACTCAAACGACTCGATGAACACTGCCATTAAACTGGGTAAAACACCGGGATGAATCATTAAATATAAACTAGGGGTACGTTCCGGCAAGTGCCAACGAGGCTAATTCGTTTATCTTTTGTGGAATGGGCCTATTTAGATCTTCGCGATATTTTTTTTATAATTTTAGAGGTTTAAAATGGATTCCGCTATAGAAAAGGATGGCACCCAACTTCAAAAGAACAACTTTGGCACATTCTAGGCTTTAAGCTTTGTTGGTAAATATGAACAACTTAGCACTTATGTTTCATGGAAAATTCCATTTTATCAAAGCTATAAACGTCAGAAAGAAAAATATAGTTCAAATGAGACCTTTGACTGCTGAAATTAAAAATAATAATTAAATTCCGAGCAACAGCGTCATCAGGGATAAGAAAAATATTTCGCGGGGTAATATACATAAGACAAAATATGGTGTAAAGTAAAATGTGTGAAAAGCGCGCAAGAATAGGGCGGCATGTATTAGAGGTATAAAAATATAAACTTGAATAAAACACAAAGATCTAATGGGCGAGTGTCACAGGACAAAGAGTCTCTTGAAAGGCATAATGATAGTCTGAAAAACAAAAGGTCTGCAAATTCGTTGCATTCCTCACGGGAGTTTTGGGCTGTCTCAATGTAAATCGAGCAGCAAAAAAACATGCTGGTTGACAAAATCTCTCGTAAGACATAAATAAATTCTAAAAAGAAAAGGTCCGCAAATACGTTGCATCCTTCACGGAAGGTGAGGACTGGCTCAATGTAAATCGACCTGCGAAGAACACGCTGGTTCTGATATAAGTTTTGAGAATATAACCCTATGGCTTGATCAACTACCGCTTAAAATTCAATTCACAAAGTAAAAGAGAACACTGAAAACCCTGGCTCTGAGTCGAGAAGCGAACACGCTACCTCAATGTAAATCGAGCTGCAAAGAACAAGCTAGTTCTGACAAAAATTTGAGCGTAAAACCCTATTCCTTGATCAGCAGCTGCTTTAAACACAATTTATAAAGCAAACCAGAGCACTAATTGCCCTTCCAAACTAGAAATCGTATTAAAGCTTGCTCACCAGTTAGGTCCTCTTGAACAGACAACGAACAGCTGCACACTGAATCACCCAATCTCGAACCACGAGTTGTAAATACAAGACCATGACGTCACTACCCAAATATGGGGTCTTGCTTACACCCAAATATGGTCAAAAATGCAAATTTTAGAGGGTTACGCAGAATTTGAGAGTTTTTGCCTACATTGCGCGGCGTTATAATTCTGCCGCCGAGTGAACCTCGCTTCTTAGCTCGATTGCCTCGTTGGTAATAAAGCCTGTTCTACAAACATTCTGATAGTCCGGAAACAATCTGACTCGTGTTCAGTCAGTTTCTTTCCCTTTTCTTCCTCAAATGTCGTTCTTTCGGTCTTATGCGCATCCTGTATGTAAATAACACTTTGAACACGCTTTTTTATTTTCGATATCAGCAAAAATACGCGCATGTTATTCTTGTCAACTCCTGTAAAATTTCTTGATAAGTAATTAGCGCATATGAAAATTGTCTTCCCTTGAATATTCTATCTTTGAAAGAAATGATTATAATTTTGTACGCCTGCTTATTTTCCTACAGTCTGTATATTATTTTAAAAGCGAAATGTGGCTTTACAGCTCGGCTTAGCAGTAAATCCGCCCCGAAATTGAGCTTTTTCTACTCATTTCACGTTTACAAAAGTGAAAGAAAAAATTATCTTAGTACATTCCAAGTAGAACAGCAACACTTTTTTTATTTCAGCTGAAATGGATTATTCGAAGTCTGATTTAATAAAACAAGAACTGAATACGCAAACTTTTCAACCGAAAGCTTAGCGAAATCAGCCGGAAATGAAATGAACAGTGTTGACGAAATTCCAGCGCACAGGTCAAGTTCCACTTTAGTTTCACTATATACATATTAAACAAAAAGTGGAAATTTGCATGTTATACGTAAATACCCTATTCTGAATAACATGCCACATCACGCATCACGCGCAACAGTTATAGAATTATAGAATGATTTACTTCAATAATTCACGTGTTAAATTCTAATAGTGGAAGAAATTCGGTCCCTTATGGCCAGCCATCTGACCTTGTGCGAGCCTTGCTGCTCATCTTTATCCCCCTTCGCTGAAAATTAACAGGAAAGAGTGTTTGAGACTAATACCTTTTTCCGTACAAACATTGACATATTCAAATGTTTTTTTTTTTACAATATACAACTGAATTTATCAGATTTTCCGTACCTCTTAGTCTTAACTAAAAAATAGGTTTCATCAACTCATAATCGTGTGGTGAGGGTAAAAGACGGAATGAGTGTGGGGAATGGCATGTGCATGGCATGGCTTGTGGACGTAATTATGCGGAATGTAATATACGCAGAATGACCCAAAGAAATATATGAAAGTTAAGAGCGCGCCCTTTTTTGGCGCCAGTCAATTTGGAAACGGGGCCGCTTTTTTAATATTGCGGGCTCCACATACGATGACAATCAAGAAGCCAAGAAGGACTCCTTGATTTCTTACAGTCGATTAGCCTTTTCCGCACACCCCATTTACGCTCTTAAAGTGAACTTCGACCAGTCTATTTTGCAAAGTTTGCGGAACACTTTAATTTTGAGGGAAGGAGCACTTCAATCCAGAACTTGGCTGCATAACTCTAACGGACAACTTAAAAAGAGTTGTTTTCTTTATTGAAACCCAAGATCGACGAAGTCAGTGAACTGTTTGCTAGTTTTCCTCTTCAACATCTTGTATCAAAAACTCAAATGACAGTTCTGACAGTGCTGAAGTTGAAATGCTGAACGCTATAATTTTTAATGTTTCGATCGTCACATGCCTCTCACTGAAGCTAAATTAAGTTTCAAGTCCTCTGAGTAGCGCCATGGCTGAAAATACTAAAAAACAAAGCCTTCAATATTCGACAATTGCCTGAACTGCATTCCGTCTAGCTATTCTAAGGCTCGCAGGGTCGAATAAAATAAAAGGATAAAGAAAACTGAGCGTGATTTCTATTACGAGGTTCTCTCTAATCCACAACCGCTGAGAGCGGATCCGAAATAAGGTGAATGCGCGCGCATTTTGCCACAAACGCAAGGCAAGGCGCGTAACTGGGACTAATTTCTGCTATAGAAAATTGTAGGAAGTTGAAGAGACTTTATTTTTTGTGGGACGACAGCCAAGGGAAGACTCTTTTCATATGCGCTAATTACTTATCAAGAAATTTTACAGGAGTTGACAAGAACAACATGGGCGTATTTTGCTGATATCGAAAGTAGAACAACGTGTTCAAAGTGTTATTTACATACAGGATGCGCATAAGACCGAAAGAACGACATTTGAGGAAGAAAAGAGAAAGAAACTGACTGAACAGGAGTGAATGTTTTATTAAAAACACTGAAATCTTTTGAACAAGATTCCTGCTCGCGGCCGAGTCGCCGTCGCCGATCTGTGCGCTGCGAAGATCTTTCTTTGGCAAAACAATATGTTCCAAAACGAAAAGACACGTCTTTTTTTCTTTTAATGTAGAGATTAACCAGTCGGCTATTCAGCAAAATACAATTGTTGCATGTGCAAAGATGCTGAAGTAGCGCCGTTGTTTTAGCCTTACATAATTTTTCCGGTAATGGAGGTTGGGAGAAATAATTTGTTGCCATGGTTGTGTAATGGCAGTTTTGTTTAATAAGCCTAAAAGCGCAGCTCTTTTGTTTAATAAGCACAATTTATTTGCTTATAAAGCAAAAAGGGCGCGCGTTACATTTTAAACTGGTGTAATAAACAAAAAAGACAGGCTTTTTTGTTTAATACTAGGGGTACCTTCCGGCAAGCTCCAACGAGGCGAATTCGTTTATCTTTTGTGGAATGTGCCTATTTAGATCTTCGCGATATTTTTGTTATAATTTTAGAGGTTTAAAATGGATTCCGCTATAGAAAAGGATGGCACCCAACTTCAAAAGAACAACTTTAGCACATTCTAGGCTTTCACTTTTATTGAACAATAACAGCATGGCTTGAAGCTTTGTTGGTAAATATGAGCAACTTAGCACTTATGTTTCATGGAAAATTCCATTGTATCAAAGCTATAAAGGTTAGAAAGAAAAATATAGTTCAAATGAGGCCTTTGACTGCTGAAATTAAAAATAATAATTAAATTCCGAGCAACAGCGTCATCAGGGATAAGAAAAATATTTCGCGGGGTAATATACATAAGACAAAATATGGTGTAAAGTAAAATGTGTGAAAAGCGCGCAAGAATAGGGCAGAATGTATTAGAGGTATAAAAATATAAACTTGAATAAAACACAAAGATCTAATGGGCGAGTGTCACAGGACAAAGAGTCTCTTGAAAGGCATAATGATAGTCTGAAAAACAAAAGGTCCGCAAATTCGTTGCATTCCTCACGGGAGTTTTGGGCTGTCTCAATGTAAATCGAACAGCAAAAAAACATGCTGGTTGACAAAATCTCTCGAAAGACATAAATAAATTGTGACAAAAAAGGTCCGCAAATACGTTGCATCCCTCACGGAAGGTGAGGACTGGCTCAATGTAAATCGACCTGCGAAGAACACGCTGGTTCTGATATAAGTTTTGAGAATATAACCCTATGGCTTGATCAACTACCGCTTAAAATTCAATTCACAAAGCAAAAGAGAACACTGAAAACCCTTGTTCTGAGTCGAGAAACGAACACGCTACCTCAATGTAAATCGAGCTGCAAAGAACAAGCTAGTTCTGACAAAAATTTGAGCGAAAAACCGTATTCCTGGATCAGCTGCTGCTTTAAACACAATTTATAAAGCAAACCAGAGCACTAATTGCCCTTCCAAACTAGAAATCGTACTAGTCATAGTTGTCACTAAATCTGCCCCCGAACTTTTAAAACCCGAATGAAGACTCCTTGTGGTTGTCCATGTATTTGCCATCAACCTTTGAAATGCAGTTTTCGTATTAGAGTTTCTGAGTGTAGTTCTTTTGTTTTTTCTCAATTAGTACACTTTGTTTCCTGGGTTAATGAAAATCCTAATACATGTCATGCTTAGGATGGAAAATTGTTTTTTATACATCCCATAATGAGTTCAACCAACACTGCAAATGTAATAGAACGCGTGTTAAACAACAAAACCATCTTTAATTATTTATTTGTAACTAATAATGTAAATGTCCTCTAACTAATGTGTCGAACGAGTGCTTTAGCTTCGAGTGTGACATTCTTGAACGCAACTGATATGGTCTGATATAAATGATTTCGCAATAAACTAACCCTGGTGTTGCGGAATCTTCCACTGCGTTTGGAATATCTCCGCGTCCGCTGGTTCAATAAACAATCAGGACTGTATCTTTCTCTTTCTTCGCTTTATTGCGTTCGTTCATTCGTACATCACAATCGTTCTAAACATTCTACTCAAAATTACAATGCTTACTAGTTTTATGATTACCACAAGTAAACGCCTTGACTACGTATGTCCGGCCGCAAACCGAACTTGGCAAAGGCTCACTATTATTTCTTGCGATCTAACACATGAGCGTGATACCTATTTCCTCAACATATCCCACATTATGTACCTTAATTATTATTTACCGCGCATAAACCGATTACAATCAAAACCACTAAGGTTGATAAAAACAAACCGAGTCAATTCTATTATTCGTCATAGGATGTGGTTACACGCCTAAGATAATTTTCTACTTGCAAAGCAAAATAAACTGTTCAACAATTACGAAAAATAATATTAATAACTTGTTATAACACCTGGTAACGGCACTCAAGTTAAGCGCTGTCGGTCGGGGTTACGAAGTGGATGGGTGACAAACCGCGAATATCGTCTTAAAGGTCCATACGTTGTTCTTTCTTTTCTTCTTTTGCGTATTATGTGGTGTTATTGTTAACAGTGTATTGAAAAGCAGATTAAGCATTATTTCGGTGTCCGGATTTAGAAAAAGACAAAAACAAAGAACAAATATGGCCCGGTGTAGTTCGCCTGAAAGTTATTATTCTTCGGGCCGTAATACAGAGCTGAAACATTGCAGACTTTGATCTATATATCTGCGGGGAAACCGGCAAACTAAGAAATCTGGGTTTTCGACAGTGTAAAACGATCATAATTCCTCTGATTCCAATCTCCTGTTCCTCTGTCTCTTGCTGTCGGCGTTGCCTTCGCTGTGCTAATCGATGTTCCTTCTACTCCGCGGTTTCTTGTTGACGTCTTCTCCTTCGTTGCTCACGCTGAATTTGAAGTCGGCGTTCTCGCTCCAGAGGAGTTTCGATGGAAAATCTTCCTGGGCGAGAATTTGGAGCCACTTGTTGTGCTTGTGTGTGACACAATTCTTCGAATGCGACTCGTTGACAAACCCAGTTTGCGCGGTTGCTGAGCCAGGCGCACATGCTGAAAATTAACCGGGACCACCGTGCGCGCCTAGTTTCATCAAATCGAGAAAATTTCGCATACTAACACTACGACGATACGATACTTTTACTTTACGCGGGGGACATTAGGGTGCCTCCTCGGGTTCCGGCCTCTGGGCAGGAACCCTGCGGGGGCAATTAAAGCTTGCTCACCAGTTAGGTCCTCTTGAACAGACAACAAACAGCTGCACACTGAATCACCCAATCTTGAACCACGAGTTGTAAATACAAGACCATGACGTCACTACCCAAATATGGGGTCTTGCTTACACCCAAATATGGTCAAAAATGCAAATTTTAGAGGGTTACGCAGAATTTGTGAGTTTTTGCCTACATTGCGCGGCGTTATAATTCTGCCGCCGAGTGAACCTCGCTTTTTAGCTCGGTTGCCTCGTTGGCAGAAACCGCTCAAGACGACTTGAAGAAGATTGAAACGGATTGCATTTGTGGTTTTTGAAAGCTTGTTGGCCTAAGAGCTTTTCAAAGTTCATTTTTGTTGTTTATAACGTTTGATATAATGCTTTGGAGGCTTATTTGTTTGACACAACTCTGTTATGTTCTCTTTCGCATTTATTAATTTCTCAAGGTCCATAGCGAATGAGGACGCGTAATTAACATTATTAAGATTATAAACAAAATGAACTAGACAACCGTGACACAAGTCAACGCTCCATTTAATTAGTGGCGCGCAAATTAACCAGGGGCACCCAACGACTGTTTTCTGTAAAATATCTGTTCGCAGAAGCAAAAATTGCCTAGAATTTTCTTTAACTTGAGGAAGGCTAAAAATGTCTAGATGACTGTTCCATTCATGTACAATTTTCGAAGCTTAATAAATTCCCTACTTACTGAAGTTTAATTTTTCGCATTTGCACTCCCCAGGTTAAGCTATTTCTCGTAGAAAAAGGAAACCTAAAATTTTTCGGATTAAAAAAATGTGAGGGAGAAAGGAATAAAAAATATTTTCTTACTCTTGTAAATCTTTAGACTACATCTAAAATTTTCGGGAAAATAATACTGATGCCCTCGCAATTTCGAAAAGACTCAAGTTCTAGCCGTAGGATGACCAAACAGATGCAAAGTTTCATAGCGCCGCTTAAAATTCATTTCTAGAGATCTAAAAGTTTTCTGGATGGCCTAAAAAGTGTATCCATTGCATTTAAAAGGGAACCGTTGTTGAATGCCTCTGATTAGCGTTTAAAAATTACAAAATTTATCGCGACTAAAAACGTTAATTAACTGTAATAAAGTTGTGGTAACAGAATCGATTAAGGCTTGTATGAAAGTGACGGTAGTACGAGGACGTCGTCGGAAAGCTGAAAAAGTGGCTGTAACGCATCACTGAAAGTGACCGTTCACGGGAATTTTCGCCGTTTGCGACCGCTTGTCGTATAAAAATTATACCTCTCGTCAGTGTCCGCAGCTTTTTACGCTGGGAATTATAGGGGTTTGTCAAGGAGACGGTAAGTAGAGCTGTTCGCTTATGAGTGTTTCTTGAAAGAGCTTTGATTGAGTTGTTGTCTGCTGTCACATGGAAGGACGAATGATTTTCACCCCTTGCGACTCGCATGTTCTTTTCATTCATAATAGATTCCCGGCATTAAATAATTATCCGTGAATTATATCATCAGTTTAGTTGTAGAATCGAAGTTTCCACATTGTTCCCTGGGTCGCCGTAAAGGGTTAGGTATATTATGAGAACCTACACCAACCATGCAGTTCAAGTAGTATATTAAATGAACTGTTTCAATCCGCAGAATGTTTTCCTTTGGACATTATTTGTTCGGTGAAGAAGAATCTCCACACAGATCTGAGAGTCTAAAGTGACTGTTTGTCATGAATTAAACTTTAAGAAATAGTAGTGGAACTGGACCTTTCGATAGTCGATACAACCGCTTTTTGCCTCGATTTGTCAGACAGCGGAAGTCTTAACGTACGCCACTGGAATAAAACTTGAAAAGCCAGATTGAGTGAGTTCCGATGTGTATATGCATCAGTTGACTTTCCACTCTTTTAGAACATTTATTTTATTTGCTTTTCCATACTTTGATCCCTCACTACATATTCTCAGTGATGGTTGTGTTCGTTCTACTCCGGTCGTGTTTATGAGCCAGGGGCACCCAACGAAAATTTCGTCCTAAATGGGTTGAACACGCTTTTTAGGCTATCCAAAGTAGTTTTAGACCTCTAGAAATGCATTCTATAAGCGGTGCTATGAAACTTGTATCTGTTCGGTCATCCCAGGGGACTTTGAGTCTTTTCGAAATTTCAAGGGCTTCAGTATTATATTCCCGAAATTTTTAGATGCGATTTATCGCTTTACGAATGTGAGAATTTTTCTGATTCCTATTTCAATCACATTATTGAATCCGAAAATTTTAGGTTTTCTCTTTCTACGAAAAACAGCATCACTCGGGGAGAGAAATGTGAAAAATTAAGCTTCAGAAAGTATTTTAACATAGATTTTTTGCATGCATATATTATAAATAATATTTTTATGTAGTGTCCGTTTATTAACGTGCCTCAAGTAATAGAAAATTTTAACGCAATTTTTGCTTCTCCGAACAGATATTTTACAGAAAACAGTCGTTGGGTACCCCTGATGAGACTGTCTCTTCAAATTAACTTATACGATGGTAACAGATAATTTAGAATCAACTGTGGTTGTTTTGTCTTTTCTTCCCCCCCTTAAATTTAGAAATGCCTCAGGTGCAAAACTGAACAGTTCATCCATAACTGTTTATACTTGTTTTCCAAGTGATTTTTTATCAGTTATATTGATTATTCGCTTGTTGTTTGGAAGAGGGAGTGAATAAGTCTTCCCACTCGAGCCCTCTTGAACTGGACGATATTTAAGTTGGAAGAACAGTAGAACCGCATTAAAGATTGTCTTTAGAAATTGTTTGGAGCGAATGTTGAAACTTTTACTGATTTTACTTAACAAGGAAAACATTAAAAAAGAACCTGATCACAAGCTAAACCGGCGCATTCTTACCAGTTTGATTTCTAAAACACTACTTACAGCTCGTAGACTTGACAGTGTCAATATTTTGCAACGCAGTTTCGGTTACGGCAACCCAAGCTCACGTTAAGAAAGATTTTACACCATGACGTTTACAAATTCAAAATTAATAGAGAGTTCGAAATTATAATTGTTTGCCTTTAATATCTGTCTGTTGTATTTGTCTTCACTTGTGAGCTCTTATTATCTTGAGATTATACACGTAATAAAGGCTTGTGGGCTTGTGTGGGGCTCGCGATATCGGGCGCATTAATAAATAGAAACAGGAAGAATTATTTTGAGTTTACACCTGACTCAAAATTCCACTACTGGCTGGAAAATCGTCTGAAAATCGTTGTTAACAAGATTATTTAGCACCATTACATAATTATAACTATGCCAGTGTCTTCCCCAAATACTCGCCAATAAAGTGCGTTGAAATCCTACAGGGGCACCCAACAACGGTTTCCTCGTAAATACATTGAAAACACTTTTTAGGCTGTCCCGCGTACTTTTAGATCCATAGAAATGTATGCTAAGTGGCGTTATAAAATTTGTATCTGTTCGGTCATCCAAGGGGAACTTGAATCTTTTCGAAATAACAAGGGTTTTAGTTTTATTATCCCGAAAATATCAGATGCAATTTAACGTATTACGAAAGTGAGAATTTTTTCTGATTTGTTTCTTCATCATTCTTGAATCCGAAAATTTTAGGTTTCCTTTTTTCTGCGAAAAATAGCCTAACCTCGGGAGTGAAATGTGAAAAAATAAACTTAGAGAAAATAGTAGGGCATTTATTAGATTCGCTTCGAAAATTGTACATGAATAGAACGGTCATTTTTAGAAATTTTTAGCGGTCCTCAAGTAATACAAAATTCTAGGCAATATCTGCTTCTCCGAACAGATATTTTCTCTATTTTAATAGGGAAAATAGGGAGTGAGGCGAAAGAATCTGGCCACTTCGAGCGTTCATCACAGTATCACTTCACTTGCAAACCTCCACGCTTATAAAATAATGCCCTTTCCTGTTGTCAAGAAATGAATGTCTGGAGTTTTTCAAGAATTTGGGGCCAAAATAATGGATATTAAAGGAGCTTTGTCACGAAATTTATCACTGAAAATTCAAACGAAGGGAACTGCCAGCAAACTTGGTGAAACATTAAATATTAATTATTTAATAACCGCTCAAAACAACTTGAAGATTGAAAAGGATTGCATTCGTGGTTTTTGAAAGCCTGTTAGCCTAACAGTTTTTCAAAAGTTCATTTTTGATTTTTATAACGTTTGATATAATGCTTTGGAGGCATATTTGTTTGACACAACGCACGCTGTTATATTTTCATTCGCATTTATTAATTTCTCGAGTTCCATAGCAAATGAGGACGCGTAATTAACATTTATTAAGATTATTTACAAAATGAACTAGACAACTGCAACACAAGCCAACGCTCAATTTAATTTGTTTAGTGGCGCGCAAATTAGTCCCCTAACAACTGTTTTCTGTAAAATATCTGTTCGGAGAAGCAAAAATTTCCAATATTTTTCTATAGCTTGAGGAAGGCTAAAAATGTCTAGATGACTGTTTCATCCTTGTACAAGTTTTGAAGCTTAATAAATTCCCTACTTTCTGAAGTTTAATTTTTCGCATTTCTACTCCCCAGGTTAAGCTATTTCTCGTAGAAAAAGGAAACTTAAAACTTTCCAATTCGAAAAAATATGATTGAGAGAGGAATAAAAAACATATTCTTACTTTTGTAAATCTTTAAACTGCATCTAAAATTTTCGGGAAAATAATACTGATGCCCTCGCTATTTCGAAAAGACTCAAGTTCAAGACCTAGGATGACCGAACAGATACAAATGTTTATAGTGCCGCTCAAAATTCATTTCAAGAGATCTAAAAGTTTTCTGGATAGCCTAAAAAGTGTATCTAGTACTTTTAAAAGGAAACCGTCGTTGGGTGCCTCTGATAGCGTTAAAAATTATTGCGACTTAAAACGTTAATTTCATGAAGCTATGGTGAGGTTGTGGTAACAGATTCGATTAAGGCTTGTGCGAAAGTGACGTAGACCGAGGACGTCGTCGGAAAGTGGAAAAAGTGGCTGTAACGCATCACTGAAAGTGACCGTTCACGGGAATTTTCGCCGTTTGCGACCGCTTGTCGTGAGTAGAGCTGTTCGCTTATGAGTGTTTCTTAAAAGGGCTTTGATTGTAATGGTGTGCTATGTCACATAGAAGCACGAATGATTTACACCCCATCTGACACGCTTGTTCTTTTCATTCATAATAGATTCCTTGCGTTAAATAATTGTCAGTGAATTATAATTAATATATAGATTTAGCCAGGGCTAAAAGCGAAGCTCTGGTTAATAATACGTGTAAACAAAAAAAAATTAAATCGTGTAATGCTAAACGCGGACGACAATGAATATGGCTTCAAGACTAATAGATGTAATTAGCAAAAAAACAAATTGCACGTGCAGCACGCTTTTTTGTCGTTCCCTTGTTGTTGTTTTGCACGACTACAACGCTGTTTTGTACGGCTAAAACGTCAAACTTCCTAGTTACACATTGTTTTCCTGGAGGAATTGTCGTATGTGCTTACCCAATATTTTGTCTCTTGTGTTCATGTTCGCTTTTAATTTTCATTGCCGCTCATTTTCACCTTGCTGGTCGCTAGCATTTCTCATTTTCTCACCGCCGCTTTGAATTTCCGTGTTTTTCTTCCTAAGAAATTCGTCTCCTTTGTTTTCAATAACTCGCTCTAGCTCTTTCTCTTTTGTCCACGTTAATGTAAACATAAAAAATAACGCCGAAAAAGACACGACTTTGTTGTTGTTTTTTCTTCTAAATAAAACCTTGAGTCGCATTTGGGTTGCCATACCTGTTGATTGAGTTATTTTACATTGGTGTGCCTGTGGTGCGGACGGTCGCTCGCTCGCTCGGTGTACGGTCACGTGATTACCAAATTTTCTTGGATGGGTAGTTTACCACATTTTCTTACCCATGGTGCTCGGCTGCGCGCTTCGCGCGCGAGAGCTCCGCTATCATCAGTTTTGTTATACGATCGACGTCTGCGAAGTTGCCACATGGTTCCCAGTCTCGCCGTAAAGGGTTAGGTTTATTATGAGTATACCTACACCAACCTCTTGAAATTTTAATGAGCCGTTTCTGACAATCCACGGAATTTTATCATTTGGGCATTGTTTGTTAGGTGAAGAAGACTTTCCACACAGATCCGATCGAGAGTCTGAATCTGTCGATAGTCGATAATCGATGCGATCGCTTTTTTCGCTGTATTTCAGACAGTGGAAGTCTTATTAAACGTACGCCACAGAAATAAATCTTGAAAAGTCAGATTAGTGAGCGAGTGAGTTGGGATATGTTAATATGTATCAGTTGACGTTCGACTCTTTTAGAACGTTTATTTTATTTGCCTTTCCATTTTATACTTTGATCACTTACTATACATATTCACAGTGATGGTTCTATATACGGTCGTATTTATGAGGCTGTCGGGACCTCAAATTAACTAAACGATGATAACGGATAAACCGAATCAGGTGGTTGTTGTGTCTTTTCTTTCCCCTTAAATTAAAAAATGCCTCAGGCGCAAAACTTAACCGTTCTTTCGTAACTGTTTATACTCGTTTTCCTAGTGATTTCTTATTAGTTATGATTATTTGCTTCTTGTTTGGAAGAGGGAGAATATAGGTATGGAAAAATCTTCCCACTCGAACAAAAAGTTTGCAGGAATTGCTAGTTAATTACTAAAATAGAACAGAGCTTGGATTCGCTTGGAGAATCGCTGCCTTGAGGTACAAGCGATTGATGTTTATTCTCTCTTGTGTTTAAACTATTCTTCCTTTGAATAATTACTTTTAGCGGTGCTCTTAGATTCGCTAACGTGGTTTCTGTTAAATGTGGCCTCTACTTTCGTTTTGACTTGCCCACCGTAATTTTACTGATTTTACTTACCAAACAAAACATTAAAAAGAACCTGATTACAAGCTAAACCGGCGCACTAGTTTGATTTCTAAAGGAAGGAAGGAAGGAAGTATAAGAACTCTATTATAGTGTCGAGGTTGCCAGCATACAATGTACGCTAATTGGGGACACCTAACCACAATAGACCTTTTCACGGTTTATGACGCAATCTTGGCTGGTGGGCAAACACGGCTAAAATTATAGTGAATGTATGGGATTTTGGCCCAACTGGAACCGCTATTAACGCCGCTACAAAGAGGCGGATTTCCAACATTTGCCTCTGCTTTAATTAGTTTTATTGATATCACAAATAAGGCTATTAAAGGAGGTACGACGTTCGTAAATTCGAATTATAAATCTTCTCATGTGGCTTCTATAATTTCATGCTTCATGGATAATGTTGATTAGAATTGAGGGTTTGTATGAAATCTTAAAAATTCGTTTACGGTCGTTATAACCTGACTCATAATTCCACTAGTGGCTGGAAAATCGTCTGAAAATCGTGTTTAGCAAGATTGTTTAGCACCATTACATAACTATGTCAGTGTCTTGGACAAGCCTTAATGTTATTCTCAAATTCCTTGTAAATAAAATATATAAAATGAATAAATAGATTTATAAAGCGCTTAAACTATGACATATTCTAATGCGCTACCTAATTTACAATAATAAAATGCAACATTGAAAGAGGAATAAATAATAAAAAATCAAAATCATTCAGGTCTAAAAGCTTTCTTGAATAAGTAGGTTTTAAGATGTCAAAAACAGTCAATATTTGAAATAAGTCTTAGTTCCAAAGGTAGGGCATTCCATAACGATAGACTAGCGTGGGCGAAAGGATTTACACTTTGTTTGTGGCACTTGCAGCAGTCTCTGGTTCATGATCTGATAATAAAGTATAACCTCCTGCAACTTTAGGTTTCATAAAAATCTCTAATGTGCACAGGGGCCTTGCCTTCTAATGCCTTGAGAACAAGTAAAAGAATCTTGAATTGAATTCGGAAATAGACAGGTAACCAGTGCAGTTTAGTTAGAAAAGAAGTGATATGGTCAAACTTCGGAATAACACAAATCACCCGAGCAGCAGCATTAAGGATCTTCTGTAACCGGTCGTACTGTGAAAATTAGGTATGCCTAAGAGAATTGCAGTAGTCAAGGTGCAACATGACAAAGGCGTGAACCAGAGAAAGAAACTGTCTCATTTGCCAGATGGTATATAGGCCATGAAAAGCTTTACTACAAACTTTGAAACATGAGTATCCATAGACATATGAATGTCAAACCATGCGCTCAGATTACGGACACACTCCACAGGTTTTAATAACAGAGGTACCGACAGCAATTGACTCAATGGAAACCTTGGATAACTGCTGGTAAGAGCCAATGATAAGAAATTCAGTCTTCATGTCATTAATTAATAGCCGATGAGAAACCATCCAAATGCGAACCTCTGCAATACATTCCTCAGTCACTTTGATAGCTTCCCTCTGAGAGTTAGAGGAGCTGGGTTTAAAAGAAAAATATAATTGCGAGTTATCGGCATACGCATGTGCTTCAGGGAGATGCTTTGCCATTACTTTAAACAGTCCAGAAGCATATAGGAGAAAAAGAACAGGGCCCAAACAACTGCCTTTGGGAACTCCACAATGCAGATCAAAGGGCTTAGACAGCTGCTGATTAAGAACTATTTGTTATTTCCTGGCTGATAAGTACGACTCAAACCAATTTTGGGCTTCGCCAACTATGCTATAGTCATTCTCAAGAATATTTAGCAAAGTTCTATGGTCTATGGTGTCTAATACAGTACTCAGATCTAATAAGGCGAGAAGAGAAACTTCTGTTGGTCCATAGCCATGAGAATGCACTTTGGACCTTTACCAGTCGAGAGCAGTCTCAGTTGAACGGAAAGTGCGATAGGACGACTGATTCACAGGTGGTAGTGGCGCATGAATTCTACCATGAGCAAACAGGTGACCAATCACTGCCTGTTCAACAACTTTGGCAACAAAAGGTAGATTACTTAAAGGTCTAAAGTTGTTAAAAATCTAATTAAGGCCAGCCTTTTTAAGCACTCGAGGAATGACAATAGTGCTTTTCCAATAGTCAGGTACCCGTCCTTTCCGAAAAGATCAATTTAGCGTTAATGTAATAACTGGAATAAGCACATCAACAGACTGTTTCACAAGCCAAGTAGGAATAGGATCAAGACTGCATGTAGCATTCAACGAACCAACAATAATTTTATGTACAATCAACTTCTGAAGGTGGAGAGAAACTGTCCAGCCCAGTTTCAGGTGACCGGAATTCAACATGAGGACTATTAACCACAATGTTGTCAATATCAGCTTTGATCATCTCAATCTTCCTGCAGAAAAATTCCCCAAACTCATTAGCCAATTGATGAGGACGCTCATGAGGAGAAAATTATTGCATTGTCCTGACGCTCCTTGCAGAGAGAATTTACAACACTGAAAAGTCTTTTAGAGTTTCCAGCACAGCTCTCAATGAGCTCAGAATGATACGCGGACCTAGAAGCATTAAGAAGAGCAGAGAACTTGTTACGCACAGTTTTAAAGGCATCCTTATCGCATCGAAGCTGGTTTTTAGCATTTTTCTTTCCAATTTCCTATGTGTGGCCTTGAGTTTTTTCAGGCAATCATTGAACCATGGTAGTAATATTTCTGTCTTACAATCCTCACTCTTGACTTCAATGGAGCATGCAAATCAAGAAGATTAGATAAAAATTAATAACCTCGTATTAACTCATCACTAGGTCATCGACACAGGACAAGGCTGTACCGCAGAGCCCAGATGACATAATGTCCTCCTTAAAAGTGAAACTCTTCAAACTGGGTTCATATAACAGTTCGAGGTGTACATATTTTATACTAAATTGTACATACCCAGAATGTGCCTCATGTAATTCTCTCTATATTCCCCTCAGTGTTTTAATTTACCGGTGGTTGAAATAAGTGCCACACCTATAACAGGGAAAATGAAATAAGCGCTGCGTCGCTTAATTGATCAGTTACGGTAAGACATAAAAAACAGTAACATCATATTGCTTACAGTTTCAGTGGTAGACCATGCTATGATGGTAGACTATCTGGCTCTCATGGACTTGAATGACCATCTCACTTCATTTGAAGGAAATGAAACAAGCTAAACTTTTTGTCTTTTAACGGCCCTGTTTAAAAATAAGTCACGTGAGACATAGATTACACTATATCACTGCACATACAGTCAAACCTCTTTAATACGGACACCAAAGTGAGAGAACCAAGTGTCCGCTTTACAGAGGTGTCCGTATTATAGAGGTAGGGAATGTATGATTTTTGGCATTTCTGGGATTAAACGAACTGTCCGTAATAGAGAGGTGTCCGTATTATAGAGGTGTCCGCAAGGAGAAGTTAGACTGTACCAATTACTATTTTTTTTTCACAGGATTTTCTTGGAAAGAGTGACCCCTATTTGGAGCTTGCAAGGTCAAAAGAAGATGGAACTTTTGTTGTTGTCCATAGAACAGAGGTTTGTTATGTCATGAAAAGCTATAACAAAAAGAAATGTACTTTATTATGTACAAATTTCTCGTTAGTTACTTAATACTCTACCCACAGTGGTTTTCAAAGAATGGAGGTCAAAAGTGTTGGCTGCCTACGTGTAGGGTGCAGCTACACATAATAAAAGCGTTTGGACCTTTCCACCGATATTAGTAAAACTAGCGACCCCTCCCCTCCCACCTCAAACAAAGTGAAATTTTGAGCAAATTGGATGGAAAAGAGTGCTTACAACCTTGCTGGGGGGAGTGGGGGGGCAACATGATGAACCCAAAGCTGATCAAAAATTGTCATTAGGGGCAGCAGTCCTACGTAACAATTGCTTAGATTAGGGGCTCTTTCACACATTTCCAAGTTCTTTTGTCCTCCCTTGTACAGTTTTGTAAAAGTTCAGGTCCTTCTTCATGCCTATTAATCCAACTTGCAGGTTATTAAGAACAATTTAAATCCAAGGTGGAAAGCATTTCAAATTCCCACTCAGCAGATATGTAATGGGGATTATGACAGGACCATTAGAGTAAGCAATAAAGCACTTTTTTCTTTACAAAATACATAATTATATCTTTTTATTTTAAAACTTGTGTAATTTGTTTAAGACAAGGACAGCAGCGCTTTGACACTGTTTAAAAATTTGTGCGCCTTTTTTAACCAATGATAAAACATGTGCTTTGAGTTCTTTAAACAGCGTCAAAAACATCCCTGGGGCATTTCATTCAATAGGATTTAATAGGATTGTTAAATAATGCATTTATCTTTTTAAGATGTATTTATTGAACAAAGTTAAACAAAAGCAGCAAAAAATGACAAATGTTGGGTAAAAATAGTTATGCAAATGCATTTTGCAACTGAAGTGTACAGTTTTTAAACTGTAGACGCTTTAAAGCATCTATTTGCCTTCGCAATTCGGCTATCCAAATGAAAGAGTTTTCCACAGTTAACTGGCCTCAGAAGAGGAAAAATTGCTCTCATATACTGCCGCTAAATCTAACTGCAATGTGGCATAGTGGGCATTGGTAAGAATTTGATTATGTTGTTCGTGACTTATTTTGGCCATTCCTTCGTGAAATGGTAATAGTAGTATATTGAGATCAGGACCTCAGTTTGGTGCCATCTCGGTTTGAAAACTTTGTTTTTCGTTTTAGAATAAAATAACCAGTCACGTTTTTTTGTTAGGTAAATATGAACTTTTTCTGCCTTCAGTAGAAAGATTTTGTCAATTCTTTTACTTTTCATTTATTTGCAAATCAGCTGGACTGTCTTGTGTAAAATTTTATTTTTATTAGTATCCTTTATATTAAAAGGCCAACCTAATCAATATTCCATTGTTTCGGTCATTCACCTTCATATTTTCCCTAAGGCTGAATTCAAAGCCTTCCCCTAACTGATAAGTTTGCTGAGTTTTACCGGGTGTAAAAGTCCTTACATGTGATTGAATTTGCAAAGTCTATTAGACAATATGCCTACAGAATATGTTTTTTAAAAAGTTTTGAAACGCTTACTGATCATATCTAAGCATGTCTTTTGAGCACTATAAAAAATAATTATATACTGAAAGGGAAGTTAAGAATATATAAAATCACCCTTTCCTGAAGTCTTATTACTTTCACTTCTAAGTGAAAAAAATAATAAAACTTGACCAAGGCGAAAATTTTCAGATTTCATGTTTTGACTGGGATTCGGATGGATCACATGACTTTATTGGAGCATTCACCACAAATCTCAGAGAGATGTGCTCTATTCAACCGCCCAAGGAGGTAAATAAATTGATTAAACTTACAGGGATGACAAAGGTGGAATAACGTTTTCATAAAATTCATGGGAAATTATGCTTCTTTTTAAGACTTTGTCCTTTTTCCATATAAACGTTCTTAATGGTATGGGGTGGGGGAGCTAAGAGATGGCCTGGCAATGTACATTTATTGGTATTTTGTGATTAAGTGTGGTTTGGGAAGTTGGGTAATAGCCCACTGCAATGTTCTAGAATCTGGTGCGACACCTTGCTTGGTTCCAGAGACATTTCATGCAAGTTTTCCAGTTTTGATAAACTCTTAATATAAGTGACCTGTGCAGCCTAATTGTACCTGTTTTCTTCTCACATCTTTGCGCATGTGGCTTAGACCTTCGGCCTATGGCTGATCCTGAAACATTTCACTGTTTGCGAGAAAAAAAGAAAAACCTATGGTGCCCAGGAAAGTATTTTCTTTGTTAATTCATGTCACAGTCTTCTTTTTATTAATTTCCAGGTTCAATGGCCTTGTATGAATGAAAAGAAACAGAAGAAGAAGCGTGGATACAAGAATTCAGGAGTAATTTTTCTTTCAAAATGTGAGGTAGAATGAATACTTTCAACCTCAGCTCTCACATGTTTGTTGGTTCAGTGGTGAACATAATAAAAAAAGCTCAAATTGAACTGAATTAGAGTTACAATAAGATCCAAACTTAGGGCTTCCTTTTCCGGAGGTGAGCCAAAAGTAATTACATATATATTGTATGTGTAACATGTAAAAGAGCTCTATGTGTAGCCACGAATCACCTTTTTGCCCACATCCCTAAACCCTGGGAGATCGTGCATGCATTTTCTGAGGACCAATTTTATTTAAACACAAACTGATTTGATTAAGCAGTTACTGGTTTGATTTTTTTCTTTGTGTTCCCATGTCGTTGCATTTGTTAGTCTCAATATTTTAGAGTTCCTTCTTATTTTAACAGGTAGTCAAAGTATCATCATTTTTGGACTTCATTCAAGGTGGCTGTCAACTTAACTTTACAGTGAGTTTTGAAAGAAATATTCTTACTTTTTAATTCTAAGACCTTTCTGAACTTACCCTTAATTAACTAGACCATTTCTCATAAAGTTGTAGGTTTAATACACAACATGATTGGTTTAAAAAACTCTCTCAGACTCATCACTCTGACCCCGATTCCGTGACTAGTAACCAACATTTAGAAGTGCCAATATCTTCCTCAAGAGAAGCTCGAGTTGTTGGGGGAGGGGGCGGGGGTTGAGGCATGAGGATTTAAAGAGAGGCTTGTTAGTCTATGCAAATTTAGTGCAAGAAAACTATATCATAATGAGGCATTTTATACCTTACAGCATGCATCAGTGTCAGGCTGTAAGATAGTGGCAAAAACAGGCACAAACACCATCTTATGTAACCCTTTAAGCCCTTATATCTGCATACAAACTCTCCCATCTGATCTCCGTACATTCCTTACAGGATTAGTTGAGAGAATTTGTTCAAAGTTCAAATGTTTTCCCTTAGGTTATTTTTTTTGTATTCTTATCAACTTTTCTTTTAATTGCGTATTAATATTGTTAGGAGAAAATTGATGTTGGTCACTCTTGGGACTTAAAGGGTTAATGGGCCATTTTCGAGTTTCCCCGGGCCTCTGTATCAAAACAAGGTTAAGTGCTCAGCCTTTGATATGGAAATGATTTTTTCATTCTCATGCAAATAAAATTCGTTTTTACGGGAAATACTGTGCACTTGCCTTCAATTTAAAAGTGAGGGTTTTATAACTCGGAAGTGGCCTATGATCCTCATTGCAGAGGACATCAACTGTAAAATAACTCACTAACAGCTTCACTTTGTCCCTTACAGTCAAGGAACCGCTCACTGCTGCTACAACCAGTTGCAAAACTTTTGAGAGACTCCGACCAAAAAGCGACTTTTCTTGCTTCAAATCTCTGTTAGTCACCGGTCTGTGAGATAAACTTTTTATTCTGACTTCCCTCCACCCTTCCATTCAAAGTTGTTCCCCCAAGTTTTGAGCATGGTCTTGTATTGCTAGCCACTATGATAAGGGGTTGAAGGGGGGGTCACAAGCACAAGATCACGGACAGGCCATCTAAGCCAAAATACAGTAGTGTCTCAAGTACTTTTGCAACTGGTTGTAGCCCTATTTTTGCCCATACAGTCGTAGACAAGTAACATCTCACTGTGGAGATGTGAAAATATTTGACTCTTCCACCTTGAGAAGCACTATATAAGGGTGCTATCACTGTACAGGCTGTAGTTCTATTGGCCCTCTATTTTAATTTTTCTACATGGCTAACAGGTTGGAATAGACTTCACAGCCTCAAATGGTGACCCTACTAAGAGCACTTCACTTCACTTCATGAATCCTTATGCACCAAATGAATACATGCAGGCGCTGATGGCTGTGGGGGAAATTATTCAAGATTATGACAGGTAATCATAACGGAAGAATGGTAGTATAGCCTGTGAACAGGCCTTCGGGTGAGGGAGAATCCGCCTTTCTCCCCTGATTTTTTCACCCTTTCCCCAAACTGAGAGCCTGTTCACTGCCTGGCACTCCCTATAAAGGCCTATATGCGGAGGCTTCGCCAGAAAGGGATACTTTTTTCAGACTTCAGATTTATACGGTGGCTCTTGAATCCGGACGTGTTTTGGATTCTGGGAAGTGTTTTTCGATTCTGGGGCTTGTTTTGGATTCTGGGACGTTTTTTCAGATTCTGTGGATGTGTTTAGGATTCTGGGAAGTGTTTTTGGAATCTGGGATGTGTTTTGTCCTTGCGAACCACTGTACATTTACATGTATAGTATACATGTATGACAGGGTGGGAAAATCTATCATTTAAGCACTTTAATTGAAACATTTTGAAAGATACTTCCTATGGCTCTATCATTTTAATAGGCCATTTCCCACAGAACGTCTAAATCAAAACAAGGCTAAGTGCTCAGCCTTTGATGCAGAAATTATTTTTCATTCTCTTGCAAATAAATTATGCAACTAAATTTGTACAAAAGGTTGTGCACTTGGTTTCATTTCGAAAGTGAGTGTTTTATTTAAATATATTATTGTAATTTTTACAATACTGTGATAAAACTATGATAATAATAAGGAAAAAGACTAGTTCATGAATAATAAAACTAAAATAAAAAATATTTACAAATACTTTAAAAAATGTGATAGCGTTTAAAAGATACTAAAATTGTGAAAATTTACAAATTCACAGAAATTAGTCCACGATTATACCATCGCAGCCATGGTGTCTATGAAGGGGTTCCTTGGGCGATTGGTTTTCAAATTCGGCTTTTGTCAATAAGGCATAATTAGATGTCATGCGTTTTACGTATTATGTTGAAGTTAATTATTTGTGTCAGTTAATTTTTGTTTTTCCTTTGTTTTAAATTCATTAGCATACATTACCATACCCAAAAACAATGGAAAAATAAAAATTAACGGAGACAAAAAATTAATTACAACATATATCTTCTTGATTTTATTTTACAGTGACAAACTGTTTCCCTCATTTGGGTTTGGAGCCAGAATTCCACCGTCATATCAGGTAAATCAGAAAAAGAACTTTCAGTTTATACAGCTTAAATCCTTGGACCCGACCCAGTTGTTCAAGAGTAGATTAAACGTATTGTCTTGTAAAATTGCCAAAACCTGCGGTTAAATCTTATTGCCTCGTAGAGGAGGCTATTTCTAATTGGTGCTCACAACAGCTAAGAGTATTACCAACGGAAAGCTTAGTCACGAGGTAGTCGTAGTTAAAAAAACAGTGATGGCGAATTTGAACCTCGAGTTACTTTGTAAACAAATCTACTGCAGAAGTTAGTTTAGCCTTGCTTATGAAAATTCGCGTCCAGAGCTACGTTGTTACTGAGCTCCTGTTTCAAACTGGACTCAAAATCAACATGTAGAAGCTTTCATGTTTTATCACGGTTCGTACTGTCCATGGAAAACCTGGAAAGTCGTGAAATTTCATTTTCAAGGCCTAGAAAGTCATGGAATTCAATTGTTGGTCCTTGAAGGTCATGAAAAATTAAAGTTTTGTTTGGTAGATTAGTTACTGCAGATGACAAAGAAAGGATAACGTGAGATAAAGAGGAGTAATTAAGCAGCGCGAACATTTTGGTGGATACCACAATTTGTTTCTTTTGAACTGTTTAGGGTAAAAATATGCTGAAACAAGTAAAGTTCTGAAACCTTTCCAAAATGACAGCTAAACCTAAGGTCATGAAAAACTAGAAAAGGCCATTGAAAAAGTCATGGAAGCGTGAGGTGGACGCAAAGTGGAAGCAAAGCGCAAGAGGATAAAATACCAAATAATTAAATGTGATGTTACACGGGACGATTTGCAACGACGATTTTTTAACGCAACACATCAATTCAACATTGTTGCGACATTGTTTCGAATGGTTGCAACATTGTTCCAACATTGCTACGCTGTGTTGAGCAAAAAAACCGTCGTTGCGAATCGTCCCGTGTAAGATCGCCTAAAGGAAAGATAAACGTAGCCGAAAAAGGCGTTATGCTCGTGTCTTGCGCTCCATGCTCACCTCTTACTTGCCTTAAAAAGGCAAAATAGGACACCGATGTTGCAGGTTACTGTCTCTCTATCTATATCTTACAGGAAACATGTTTTACACTTTTGTTTAAAGAGAAAAAAAAAAATTACTTCAATTTTTCAGGTTTCCCATCAGTTTCCATTGAACTTTAATCCTGGCAATCCGTACTGTGCAGGTATTCTTAAACTATCCTTGTTATGCATGACCTAAAGCACAGAGTATAAAGGGGTCTCAAGGGAAATTACGACAGGCGTGAGCGGCACGCAAAAGGTGACACTAGTACAAGGGGGGGGGCAATTTGCCACCCCCTCGCACGTTCCCTCGCGGTACGCTTCTCTCCGGCTCTGTTTTATCAGTGTTTTATAGCCGGCTAAAAGGGATTCCGTTACCGTAACAGCCGTAAATGATCTAATAGAGCGTTTTCACTTGCGTGGCCAGCAACTATGCAAATTAATTGCGACAAAAGAAGGTCTTTACATGAGTAAAGCGCTCTACTCACACTGGGCTGCTTTTGGACAGCAACATTGCCGCCGTTTTATTGTTTTAGGACATCAAAGGCTCTATAGGTACCCTCTTGCAAGTAAACGCCTATGGTCTGAAAAAAAAAATGTAGCCTGCGAATACAGCCGTTTCTTCTAGTTTCTCGCCGCTAGGGACGTTCGTTGGGAGGAACGTCTGGGCCTCAGAAATTCCATACTGATGACGTAAATCAATGTTTACATAACAAATCCGGTAGTCCGGTAGTCATGGGGATCCAAATGTAAATTTGTTGATAATCATGTTTCTCCTGTCCAATATGGTAAAGTTTTGTGTGGTAGTGCGAACGAGCAACTACAGCAAAACTCTCAGATGCTTTTTCTAACATTGTTTTGTAGAACGTAGATTCCTCACGTTTACGACGACCCCGTTTGCCTTTGACCTTTGTAGCCGTTTGTCTGTTGTCTGTCATTCGTAAACAATAGGTAAAACAATAGAATTATTATGTCGACCAATCAGAGCCGCTCCTGACAAAAATTCTGGACAGATTTTACGTCATCAGTTTGGAGTTTATGTTGCTGAGGCTCACACGTTCCTGCTGGCGAAACGTCTCCAGCGGCGAGGAGAAAGGAGAAACGGCTGTATTCGCAGGCTAATGAAAATCCGTCCCTTACGCTTAGAATAGATGCCCCTCTCTAATACACGCCCCTACTCTCCTGAATAGACGCCCGCTTGTCTGTGGTTCCTGAATACTGCAAAATAGACCAAAATAATTCAATTTATTCAGTTTCTTGCTTGATTAACAATAGTTTGCGCATTGCATCTTGTGCAATTTCAAGTACAAAGTAAGGATATTGACATTGGATCTGAGCTTTAAAAAAAGAACAATGTCGACTATAAACGCCTCCGCTTGGGCTCCTAAAATTTAACAGACGCCCCAGGCGTCTTTTAGATCATTTCCTGTAAAGGTGTGACTTTTTCCTTCTAGGTCTCCCTGGTTTAGTTCAGGCTTATCAGACCTGCATACAAAGTGTACAGCTTTATGGCCCAACTAACATCTCGCCTATCATCAGCCATGTTGCACACTTTGCACAACAAGCAGCTCAAACCCCAACTGCCACTGTAAGTAACATGCATAATTTTTTGTCAGACCTTTGGCCCGGCATATCAGAGTGATTGATATGATTCATGTGAATTATTTGATATAAAACTATGACAGGGTGAGCTTTGTCGGTAAAGTGCTGGCCGACAGAGAGGGAACAACACCCAGTCTTAAATATCGTAGAAATGAAAGTACTGTCATTCACCTTACAAACGGTTAGACCTTCCTGTGCCAGGATGACGAAGAAGAAATGACAGTCCAGTCTCCAGTAGGAAATTTTTTTCCTAAATACATAAGCTTTTTAATAAAGTACATTTTTAAAAAAAGAAAATCGTAGATGACCGGAACGTCACCAAAGATAAACTTTGTCGATAATACAGATAATGTTGATAGTGCAATGTGAAGTGAAAAGTGAGGAGAATCTATTTTTTCACATGTTGAAGGGTCAAAGGTTAATGCCTCAAACTAGCCTCCATACCTGGGCTTGTCAACAGAGGTCAATGTGGTCATAGTGTTCAGGACTAGCGAGATATTTATTCCAGAGACTAACAGCTAATTTTCTTAGACTTGTTTATTTCCTGGGCAGGTGGCTCTGTTTAAACTGCTGAAACGTGGATTCAAGGACGAAAGATTTTTCTCGTCATGTTGCTGACAATTTTTTGTAGAAAATCAGCAACGTTTACGAATAAATAAACCACGAAGTCTTTAAGCACATGGTTAAAAGCACAAAAGAAAACAAAAGGGGAGTCCGAGCCCCTGAGACGTAACTTAGTGCCTAGTGCCAACACGTCCGTAAATTTAAAAGTAAATTCACCAATTTCACATAGGCCATAAAATAATGCGGCTTACCCCCCCCCCCCCCAAACGTTTGCTTAATCGCTGTCTTCGATTTCAGTAAACAAGGTGCATTATGGTCTATGTGAAAATGGGGAATAGACTTTCAGTTCGGAGTAAGTATTTGTTCACTTTAGATGTAACAGTTTATTGTTATTATTATTATTATTATTATTATTATTATTATTATTTCTTTTTTTTTTTTTTTTAATAGAACTACTTCATACTTCTAATACTGACTGATGGTGTAATCACAGACATGGATCAAACCAAGCAGGCTGTTGTAGCAGCATCAGCGCTTCCCATGTCAATCATTATTGTTGGAGTTGGAGGGGCTGATTTTGCCATGATGGAGGAACTTGACAGCGATGACGCATTGTAAGGAAACTTAAGCAAAACTTTAACTTATAATAACAATAGTAATAATATTGCGCTTTCTGACGGTGTATCTTCGTATTACTAAATTGATGCAGAATAGGAGGAAGACTGGGAACAAATCCGTTGTATGAAGTTGGAAGGGATGGCTCTAGGGTGACAGTAAAGAGGGGTGGTTGAATATGCGTCCTTCCTGACATCTTCCTTTGGCACTCCGCCTCCTGCCATTCAAGATGTCAAAGTTTTAGCCACCAACACAAGTCTTCCCCAGCTGCAGTGCACAAGCAATGGGTAACCCCTCCCCCCAAAGAGGATCCAAACCCGTTAGATAAATGTGGAACATTATTTCTCCTGTGTGGTGGAGCTTTTTGTCCTTAGCAGGGTTACCTCAGGCTTTTGTGTAGTTTCTGTAAAATAAAGCTGCAATGAGTAATTTTACTTTCTCCTGGTAGCCTCGAAGTCGTGAAAGGTGGTTCAAGAATTCGCTTACATTGTGGTGTGCAAGTCAAAGGTGTCAGAGGGAGCGGGGGGAGTGTGGGAGGGGCAGTTCCCTTCTCTCTCCCTGTTGTCCATTTTCAGGTTCTGCATGTGACGTATGGTCACGTGACTACCAAAATTTCTTGTGGAGCTCCGCTAAAAGAACGGACAGCGTTCCCCAACCAGTCCAACAGTCAGACTCAGTCTTCAGCGCGATCCCAAAATGGGCAATAGCCACCCTACTGATCGCGCTTTGTACTGTCTGCTATATCCAAAATCAAAGATGGCTTCTGCAGAAATGCAGATCGCTCGCATGCGCTAAACATACCTCTGGCACTCAGGAAACTTCAAGGCTCTTCCGGGATCAGCGTATCAGTCTTTGAAAGGGTTTGATTACAGTGGATGATAACAGTCTGATTACGCTGGGTAAAAATGGTTGCTTCACGGTTTGGGCAAATGTTAAGCAAAAATGAGGACGGGTAGATTTCAGTCCGCAATCGCGTTTACCGTTTGCACAGATCATTTCCATTTACCAAAAAACGGCCGCGAAGGCACGAATTTCCGTTTGGTAATTCTGTCCGGAAAAAAGGGCTACCTTTTCAGATATTCCCTTGCTCTCGCAAATATTCCCTTGGAACGACTCGAAAAGTCATGTTCCATTTACTTTTGTAAGAGGTAAACAATCGACTCTTCTCTTTACGATCGTCAGGTTGATGGCTGGTGGAAGATCCGCACAGAGGGACATTGTTCAATTTGTACCGTTCAGGAATTTCAAACATGTAAGAAATATCATCACTGCTATTGAAGTGTAATATAATTGCCGTGCAAACATTGAGAATTAGTTCATTCCTAGCGTGCGTATATCGAGTTATAGATGCACGCAGGAAATCTGGAGGGAATTTCTGCCGATTTTTGAGTGATTAACCAATTTTTTAAAACGTAGTAAAAAATTGCAAATTTCTCTTAACGCGCGCCACAGAAAACAAATGCTTTTTTTGTTGTTTACCAACACGCCTACATCAATTTGGTTGAAAGAGAACATTTTGTCTCAAACTGACAGTTAAAATTTGCTTATTTATTCGTTAACAGTCGATCGAAACAAAGGCAAAAGAGTTTCCAAGCCCACATAAAGTTGAAATACTCAGATTTTGGTAAGAGGGCTTGGATATGGTTGAGATTCATACTGAAGATTTTCACATTTTAATTTGCGACATCCAGGAAACTTGTTCGTCAGCGAAAGCAACTCTCTGTTTTCATAACAAATATATCTGTAAGTGAACTATAGTTACGAGTCTTTTTGAAAGGAACTCGCTACAGTTGTTTTTATGAGTAATATATGTCTTGTTTTTGCTGTTGTGACTTTAGAGGTGGCATCACTTGCAGCCTTGTAGGCAATATTGCGCTCAACATTAAAAAACATGTAGCAGTAGTTGCAACCTTGAATGCAATACTTGCACATGCAATCACACATAGTTATTCTTGCACCTTTGCACGCGATATGACGCGTAAAATTACAGGTGGCACCACTTGCAACCTCGCAAGCAATATGGTGCATTGCATAACTGTTGTATCACTTACAACTTTGCACGCAATCTTGTGCATAACATTACAGGGTGAGGTCGCGCAACGCCATCTTGCGCATACCATCTCTTGCAACCTTGCACCCGATATTGCAAGTAGTATCACAAGTAACATTACTTGCAACCTTGCTCGTAAAATTGCGTATAACTTTACCAGCAGAAATATTTGCAACCTTGCAGGCAATATCCCACGTAATATATTACCAACTAACGTTACAGGTAACATGACTTGTAACCTTGTACGCAATCTTTCAATCCTTCACGAAATATTGCGCGTACAATTACAGTTACTATCAGTTGCAACCTCGCAAGCAATATTACGCGTTACATTTTTTTAATATTGCTCATTACCTTGCCGGTAGCATCACTTGTAACTGATTACTTTGCACGTAACCTTGTGTATAATATTACAGAGTAAGCAAGCACTACTTGCAACCTCGCGTGCCTTCTTGCGCGTAACTTTATACGTATTATGACATTCAACCTTATATATAATATTGCTAGTAGTATTACGAGCGACATAACTTGCAACCTTGCTCGCAATATTGCGTCTAACTTTACCGGTAGTAATATTTGCAACCTTGCACGTAATATTCTACGTAAGCAGGTATCATCACTTGCAACCTTGCCCGCAGTATTGCACATAGCATTACAGGAAGCATAATTTTCTACCTTGCATGCAGCATTGCGCCAAACATGAAGGATTACTTACAATTTTTGCAGCTAAAATAACCTGTGACTTTGCACGCAGTATTGATGCAACGTTGCGCACAATATTGCTCGTAACAGTACTCTGTACATTGCACGCAATAATAACCAAACATTCTCACAATATTTCCCGCAACATCACACCCGCAGCGCGGTTGTGTCTCATTACACGCAATATCTCAACAACGTAACGTTCCAACAACATTGCCAACTACGTTCTCCCGACATAACATAAAAAAATAGCACGCAACATTTTGCGTAACTCGCCCAAGAGCAAATTTTAAGTTTGTTCATTTATTTGTTATTTTAGTCCTCTCCTGCTGCACTTGCTAAAGAAGTATTGGCCGAAGTACCAAAACAGCTGACAGATTATTTCAAAGCACGAAACATCCAACCTCAGCAGCGACCAACTTGAAAAGTCTTCATTCTTTTCAGAGTTCTCTTGAGTGATCTGCGCTTTCACGTTCCCGTAGTGCAATTAGTTTTCCCTCAAAAGTTTACTCAAGTTTTGTTTTCAATTTCTCAATGGACTGTTGTTAGCCCAACAGAAACTGCAAACAAAACTTACACATTTTTTATTTATGGGAAAACAAATTGCATCATGGAATCGTGGAAGTCGCAAATAAAATTCTAAACAGGCAGTAGCTGGCCACTGAAAAGGCACGAACTTGCGTTCTACATACCAGGTAGCGTTATTTAGTACAAGTGCTAGCCGGCGTTCTAGATATGCAGACACTATAATTACCAGCAGGCCAGTCGGACGTTAGCTGTTATATAAGATTAGTGCGACTGAGTGTCAGGATAGACAGGCGCTAACGGGTAGCTCGCTCAAAATGCTGGTGTCCTGGATTGGTGCTAGGAAAGGGTAGAAGAGGGCCAACAGCAGTCAAACGAGAAATTTCTGTTGTTATTTTGACTCTTGAAAGCTTGTAGGTCTTGTAGGCCCTGGCCACACTAATGCGTGTAGTGGGAGAATGCCCATCTACTCCTCCCCTAAGCTAACACTAACACTTACTCCTCACTTAGGGCAAAATGTTGACTTAGGGGAGGGGCTGGTGGACAGTTTCTGAGAAACTTAAAATTGAATTCGTTTTTGTTGTCATTGAAAACGCATCGATCGATTCGCGTCCACGCTATATACCGCTTAGATTCGTTTTCGACTGTCTACTCTAAAACGTTCGAAAACGATAAAACTGTACGTTCTGACGTAACTTCAACTCTATGCGCATGTCACAGAAACACGCGCCTGCGAAATTCCTAGCGAAATTCTCGGTCATCGTTTTCATTTTGGTGCGTTTTCCACTGTCCACACTAATACGATATGTATGCGTTTTTTTTTGGTCAACTATCAAGAGCGTTTTTAAATCGATGCGTTTTCGTTTTCACTCAGCGTATTAGTGTAGACGGAAGGCCTAAACGCTGCGAAATGTATGCGTTTTCAAAGGAAAATTAGAACGCAACAATAAACACTGCCTTTTGGCGAGTGTATTTCGGACGTCTGATTGGACACAAATAACATTCCTGGGATATTTCAGGTGTTCACCGTTTTCCTGCTCGCACTGTAACGTTTTGAAGGTATAGTTACAATTTTCTTAATGTTCTACTTAAGCAATTATTTTAGACGTCGGCGCTATTTGTCAAAGTAGTTTTGTTTGGGTGGGAAGCAACTTTGACAACAAGAAAGTCACTCTTTCAATTAACGTGAAAACATTTATACTAGTAATGCGGAAACGCAAGATTAGTAAAACGTTACACTTTCACAAAACGTGATATAACACACAAGAATATCACGCTTTCACAAAACGTGATATTCTTGAAACAAGACCAAGGTGTTCGATCTCCTTTTCTTCGCCCTACTTAGTGTCTGATAAATTGACCTCTGAGGGCGCGCGTTCCGTTGATCGTGTTCCGGAATAAAAAATTAAGCTATAAAAATCATTGTATTGCAATAACAAAAAATCTCCTTGAAATAAATATTATTATCATTATCCAGTCAAAATATTTTTCCGTTTCTGATTGGCTAAAATCCCATGCACAGTTCATTGCCCCCACTGGGCGAAATCCCGAGGAGACATCCTTGTCACTGCGCGTGTATGTAGAAAAGAACTTACAGTTGAAATATGCAGTCAGCCACTAAAGAAAAAATTCTCGATTTGCTTGATCAGGGGCCGCATGGAGTCGTTGAGTAATAAAATGATGACATTTCATTTGTTCACGCCCCCAAGCAAGAGATTTCTTAGGATCACGTAAAACAGATTATGGCGCAGAATGGCTGTTGTTCTCGGGACATTGTACTTACAGTCGAGCTGGAGGCATAGGTGGAGCGTGAACTGAATCGCTCTCATTGGTCGAAGCCTGCGCGGTCTTTCCTTTGTAGCGATATTACCTCCTACCAAAAAAAACAAAGGCCATGCGACGTTTTGTTTATTCTTTTATTTCCAAATATCTCACCTTTAGTAGTGCGTCCTTATGAGCGTGGCTACGCAAAAATTAACGTGAAAGTCTTAAAGGCCAGTAAATATGTTCTCCCATTAACTGCAACAGGAAGCATGTCGTTTAAATCGGTAGAAGATCGTGTGTTGTATTCCTCATTGGATACATTCCACCAAGACATCTTGACATCGTGTCAATATGGATTGTCTTAAAACTATCACGCTTAACATATCTTGGCATCTGGTACTATATAAATCCTCACAGTTTATCTCATTCAAATATCCTAGTAGTGCAAAGAGTTCTTGTTAAAAACGATCTTGAGTGCCCTTCTGTTAAGTTTCCCCAGCTTGTCTTTATTTCGAGCCCGACAGAGCCAGAGTTTACTACCATTAACTGACGCCATAGAACTTACTTTGACTCTGAAGATGACAACCGCATTGAAACGTCAGTCAATGTAAACAACAGTCCTATCCTCAGGACTACGTTCGTCTGGACTATCGTGCTCAACATACGTATGATCATGATAATTATAATAATATCGATAGTGCCAAAAACCAAAAGCCCAATGGCGCCTTACAAACAGCATTAAATACGTAAGGGAAATAAACAAACAAACACGGAAAGCACAAAATGCAATCACGGAAAAAATTTATTGCTAATATTTAAGTACAAGTACTTTGCTTAAAGAGGTGCGTTTTGAAAAAGAGATTTTAAAAAGCTCTAGCGTACTAGCTGGTACACATTATGGGGGAGAGACCCCTCCAATTCATATTACGTTAGATCACTTGATGCTCCATAGAGGAGATTTTATTTTTGACTAATAGTTCTACATATGACGTTTACTTATCATACACAAACTGGCTTTACGGAGCCACTTACGGCCATGTGCAACCTAATGGTTTGTCTCAAGCATTCATTCGATTTTTAAGCGAGTAGCTCATAGCATTTGGGCTACCCAGCTAGCAAGCCATGATATATAGAAACAGAAACAACAAAACTGTAGTAGTTGTATACGTACTAGAATACGTGCGCAACGCGTCCTTATAGTAAAAATCAGGTATATCGGCTTATTCAGCCACCGCTATTCAAACTTGGAGATGTTAATTATATCGCTACTCAAGAGTCTTTATCCTTGTTTCCCCATTTAAACCAAAGTTAAACACGTTTCTAAACATCTACTTTAAATTCAAAATAAGTTCCTTATCAACACTGCTATTGTTTTTCGTCGACTACAAGTTAGCCTAAAACGTTACTGAAATAAAAAAGGAACATCAATAAACAATAAAAACATGAAGTCAATACTGACTTGAACTATATGCAGAAGTCAACTTTTATCTCCTGTTACTGAGGTTTGTGTTATTAAATTTTTTATAACCTTTAATGTGGCTTAAGTGTCCCGGAGGAGGATACTTCCTTATAAGGGGCTAATGCGGATGTGCCACTGGATGGGGTCGCATTTTCACGTCTGGATTGACTATAATGGGATTGCATTTTCAATAAAGTTACTAGAATGGGGTCGCACATTTTGGGATTTTGGGGCTGAGAAAGTTCTTCATATTTACGGTTAGAAAACGTACCAGCATGTTTGTATTGTAGGTGAAAAGTGACGAGTTCTTCATTCAATTTAAAAACTGGGTCAATTCATTTTAGGATGACCTATTTTCAAAAAGGATTGATACATAAATAGAGAGTGACTAAGTTGGGATCGCGAAAATTACGTTTGCCCAAAAGTGACTATAATGGGGTAGGGGCTCTGAGAGGCCAGCGGCACATACTCAAAATTAACCCAAGTACCCCCCGGGTTAAGTGTACGATGCGAGCTTCAATATATCTAAATACATTTTACTTGAAGTTAGTCTTCGTTTCTATGACACATGTACTTATAAGTCTATAACTCAGTCAACCTGGCCATAAAAAGGCGAAAAGTTGCGAAGACTGTTGCTGGTGTTCATTTCTATCATGTGTAACTTTAAAGCACAGAAAACTATAACCCTAGTTACTGGTATGTTAATAATCTTATGTTAAGTGACAATTTTTTCCTTGATGAAAGAAACCAGTTATCAAATATTAACTTCAACCCTTCTTTTCTTAACGAAGCTGGTTAATAAAAAGGAAAAAAATACAAGTTTTATGTACGATAAAGCACGTGCGCGGTGTAGCTAGGTTCAGACACAACTTCTCTTTAATTGGTTTAATTTCTTTTCACAGCGTCAAAGCTGTGATTTCCCTGCACTTTTCTAGTCTTTCCTCTTTTATTTGCATGCTTGGCCAAGAAAGTTAGCTAAGCAAAACACCGTTTTTTTATAAAACAACCGGAACTGTCGGCTCTATCATTCGGTTCCGTAATGTGAATCATACATGTCGCTACACACACGCAAAAGCTCGCAAAAATATTCTCCCTTAGCTATGTATAGTATGTGAGGCGCCAAGGAGAATAGTCTTGAATCCTTCTGCTCTGAAGTTATGTTTTAAGCGCTATGGTCTCAAACAGAGGAAAGTTTTGTTTTCACTTGAGAACAGCGAATCAGTTAGGAAATAGGGTAGAAAAAAATCACATATTTTGGTCCCGGGGAGGTACTCCTCTATATAGGCTATGCAGGTATGTGTCGCCCGATCGGGTAGGGTTTTTGCGCCATTTTGGTCTGAAAACGGGTATGGTTTTTGAGGGAACTACGGGAGTGTATGAACGAATTATCGTTTCAATTCCAAATGAGTAAGAAAGAAAGAGAAATATGCGAATTTGAAATGGCTTGGAAGACTTTTTGTTTGCACTCTAATTTAAGTAATAATAACATAATTTCTGCCTAAAGGCCAGGTCTGAAAACGGGTGTGGATTTTAGAGATCTAGTCTGAAAACGGGTGTGGAAAATTACATTTTTTGTTCTGAAGTAGGGTCAGGATTTGGAGAACTGGGCGGCACACTTCCACCAAGAATTCCCAGGAGTACCCACCCCCCCCCCTTTGGGATTTTGGTCTGAGACAGGATCAGGGTTTCAGAAAGCATGCCGAACTGTCAAGGAAAACCCCCTCCTAGAGAGTGCTCCGGATGGTCATCTAACATGTGCTTTGTTTGTCAAGAGTAGCTATTAAGAGTCCGAAAGCTTGTAAACTATTCTTGTAAAGGTTTTGTTGAAATGACCCTGAACAGCACTTGCCTACATTTTACAGGTTTCTTTTAACATTCCACATGACACCAAATAACAATTAATTCTGGTAATAACAAGTTTCTTTGTGTGTGTGATTACCCAAGTGATTATGCTGTACCATAACACTTGAATTTTCCCAGGGTGTGGTTGCCGTGCTCCTTATCACCACCATTATCACCAAAAAAGAGCTGTGTTACTGGAAGCTTTGTCTTGTCAGTGAGAAGACCGCTGTCTTCACGCCGTGCTTTGTCATTAGCATCACAGTTACAGCCATATTTGGGGTCTGCACACGTGTTGTTCATCCCGCATGCGCACTTACCACTGCCAGGTAATGCTCCTCCCCAGTATGTCATCTTAGAATAATCACGTGACACCCACCATCCTTGTCCAGTTCTCAGTAACTTTGATCTATAACACTCATACTTGATAAACTGCGCGCAGTATGAGGAGACACTGGTAAGACTGGCCAGATGAAGCAGACTCGCTCCAGTGTAATGAATGTTGCGTGAGTAGCATCCTGCCCTTTCACATCCTTTCACATGTGTCCTGCTCTCACTGTCGTGACTGATAACTGTCACTCCAACTCCATTCTTGTCAGTCATGTCACAGTATACTGTGAATGGCACCAGGCCTCCCTCGCCATCTGGATCAATGACGTAATTTCCACTTGATGCTGTAGGGTCGCCGTTCTTTAAGTCACTGCATGATAAGGCTGCGGAGAGAAGGTTCTAAGTTATTCTTGTGGTTAATCACTATTTCAGTGACTTTCTAGTGCTTATAATTTGTATAAGATGCCTGTATATCCAGAAACACCTCTAGAAGGACTTTTCTAACACCGCGCTACTTTGCGGGACATTTTCTTGACGAACGAAAAGCCAGAGAATACAAGTGCTTGGTGTTAAAAGGTTACGTACTTGACTTTTAATTACAATGAACATTTCACGGACAAAAACTTCAATGGAAAATAACAAATTATTAGCAAAGGTACTGCGATAAAACCGCCAGAATTGTCAAAATTTAAGCCACAGACCGTGTGGTCGCCCCGCGATTGTGCAAATAAGTTTCAAACCAATTATGTGATGTACCCCGAACTCCATATAGATGAAGTTTAGAGAGCAGTATTTTATGATTTACTGTGTCAAAAGCCTTTGATAGGTCAAGAATTAAACCATATGTTATTTGACCTTTATCAGTAGCTAGCTTCAGATTGTCAGTAATTTCAAGAATAGCTTGTTCAGTGGAATATCCTTTCCCAAATTCAAAATGATATTTGTGCAAGATTTGGTGTTTATCTATGAAATCAACGAACATAATTGATTATAGACTACACGCTCGAACACTTTACTGAATGGTGAGAGAGTTGCTAGGGTCTGTAGCATCACCACCCTTATACACTGGGGAATTTGTGAGACTTTTAAAATATGAGAAACAATTCCAGTTTCAATAGACTGGTTATAGATATATTTTAAAGGTATTGACAGTGGCTGGGCAGCTATTTTGATTAGTTTATTAGGAAAATTTAGGGATGACTTATGATCATTTAAACATTTAATTAGATAGTGAACATACTTGGGTTTCAGTGACACAGGACATAACAAAGCTAGCTACTGGAGTCGATCTTATGAATTGGGTCGGACGTCCTTCACAATGTTCAATTCTTTTGGCCAGACGACACTCGTTAAGCGCAGAAGAAGTTATAAGGTGCGTATAACTGTGTATATGTAAACACTTGGAGAGTTTGCCAGACACGAGTTCAAAAATCTTTCATTCGAAACCTTGCCAGACACCACCACCAAACAAGCAAGACGAGTGAACAACGGCTAGCTTATCACTAGCAGAACGATGGACGATTACAGAAATTCGCCGACAATCAAATTCTGTGCTGACTTATTCCCTGCTCACAGACGTCCTTCCGCTATAAAGTTTAAAATAAGACGAGAATGGGCGAGTGTGAATTGATCAAACGTCCTTTTAATTTCTAAGGCTTCCTTTCCGGCTAATAAAATAAACTGAATGTAAAAAGTGAAAGAGAAATAGCGAAAAATTCAACTTTTAACTAAACCTATTCTTATGGTTTAGAATTATAACTATTCTCGAAAGTGAGAATATTTCGATCAAAGCTGTGTAAATCGAGCTGAAACTGTGCATGGAACCTTGCGTTTCCTTTATTTATCTCACCTATTGTATGGAATATGTGTGAAAATTCTTCCTTATGAATCGGTATGTTTCAAAGGGCTACATCACGAGCAAGAATGCTACTGACCGACAATATACAGAGCGGGGGCAGCTGTAGTGTGAACTATTACTAGTTGTAAAAGGTCATGGTAAATATCCCCCGAGTCTTTGACTGTCGATAGAGTGCTGCGAAGAACATGCTGATTTCAGAAAGGTCGGGGCTGCAAAGACCATATCTAAAAAGAACAAACATACGATTGTTTGGAATACAAAGATCTTTTATCCAGCAAATTTTGAGCTCATACGGATAAAGCTGCAAAAGCATCTTCTAGGAGAGCGTTTCAGGCTTCATTTGTGTCACCGTGTATGGAACAGGCTACGGATCCGAAGCAAACAATTTTTTCGGTCTTTCACCTCTGACAGCCTCATCGCCATGACCTGTATTTGACATAATTCTTTTTACTTTCAACTTTAAAATTTTGCACGCATTTCGGCATATGTATCGGTCTGTTTTGAGATTTGCTAAAACATTGAATTAGTAGATAAATCATGCCTAGACTTATCATTGCTGGCTACCTGTATAAATATTTTGTCATGGTGGATTTTATCATTTACCCGATTGCGGTGACAGTTAGCTTTGATTTTCGTTTCTTATAGTTAACTTCAGTAGACATCAGTCTTTCTCGGTGTACGATGTTTCTATCTGCGTACTGTCATACGTCCTCGTAAGTGGACATTGCGCATTAAAAAAATGCATGAGGGCAAGAGCTTACAGTATATCGTAGTATGGTTTATCGCCTTCTGCCAAGCCAAATGTCCGTCAATGCCCATTCTCCTAGCGGAGGAGAGTCGGAAAAAATTTATTGCATTGTAGAAGTTACATTAGACCGAGAAACTAAAGAGGAAGCTGCATGCCATCCTCAGCAGTCCCATCAACTAGAACAAATGCGACGGGAACAAGAAGCACTTCGCGCTCGAAATGCCGATCGACCTCGAGGCTACAAACGGCTTCTACCGGAAAAGGTGAAGAAAACTCGGGGAGGGGGGGTACTCCCTATAATGGCCTATACGGGGAGGCTCCGCTCGAAAGGCGTACCTTCTTTTAGGCTTTAGGTATATGGAATGGTAGGGATTTTACTCGTTGAAGTGTATAGAAGACTAGGGAAATCTGTCATTTGGATCTGTGAAAGGGCCCAAAAGGGCTAACAGATGAATTTTATCGCTTTATTGAGTCGAGAAAAGGTTCTATTTTTGTGATTGACTCCTATTTAATAGACAGTGCATTTACAGCAGTTAAAAGGGATGCAAAGTTCTAAACAAGGTCTGTGAAAGGGTTACTTTTTCGTTAAAAAAAAAAAAAAAAAATGGTAAGGGGTTGGACCTCGTGGCGGAGCCTCCCCGCATAAACATTTGCTGAGTCTCCCCCCCCCCGGATGAAAAAAAAAGCCACTTCCGACGCTTCAGGATTAACGCTCTTCGCCATCTCTTACCTCGCGAGTAGACAGGTTCCTCGCCACCTTACGGGAAGTGCCAGTGACGATTACCATGGCAGGCAGTACGTACAACACTCCCGACTAGTCATCATCGAGGATTTACAGCTTAAAATCCAGTAAGGATATCAAAGGAGCTGTGTCACGAAATTCAGCCAAATTAGAAAATGACAAAATGCCCGTTGAATTAAGAGAAACATAAAAATAACCGCTTAAAGGAACGTTAAAATAACATAACAGAAGCAACAGATGCCACGGATGGGCAAAAGTGAAGAAGATTGAAACGGATTGAAATTAGGGTTTTTGAAAACTGTTGAGCCTAACAGTTTTTCAAAGTTGATCCCTGCTGCTTGCAACTTCAGAAATAATGCTCAGGAGACATATTTGTTTGTCTCAGATCTCTGATTTTGTCATTTACCTGTAATTTCTTTGCTTAGGGCCAAGTCGCACTAGAGGACAATTTCAGATTTGTCCAGGACAAATCTGACTTGAAATCGGCCAGTGACAAAAAATTTGTCCGGAAAGCTACAGTCGCACTTGAGAACAAAATCTGTGAACAAAACATCACACCATGCTGTGAGCGTCACGCAATTTCCCGCGATCCAGGCCCACGTTTTCCTGCACTCTCTGCTTTCCAACAGATCGTGTTTTTCAGCCCATAGTTGGACTAACAGTTTTTCCTCATCTTTAGTCCATCGTTCCTGGGCCTTCTTGTTCTCGGAAGATGTACGGCGCGAAGAAGTTTGGGATGATTCCGGCATTGAGCCGTCTTCGACGAACGGAAAGGATTCTGACAACGAGCCAGAACTTGCGGTTGAAGGAGATGGGCTTGGAGTTCCTCGATCATTAAAATTGTAAGTGCTAGGCAACGGATATATCCATCCTGGTGGATATTGAGGATATTGTTGCCCCATTTCATACGGAAAGTATTGGTTGCCCGCGCCTGGATTCATGTTGTTGCGAAATGAGAACGTGACCAATTTTGCCGCGAAGTCTATAGCATAGAGACTCTGCTACATATCACCTGTCAAATCATTTCCGAATTAAAACACCCTCGCTATTGTTTTCCAAAATTTGTCTCAATTTGGCCTGCTCCAGAGATAGTCGACGGCATCTTTGAAGTTTGTCCGCCCGCGACCAAATTTTGTCCTTTGGTGAACAAACCGGTCGCACTTGGTTTTTCATTGTGATGACAGATTTTGACAGATTTTTGACATAAATAAACAGTTTTGTCCTCTAGTGCGACTTGGCCCTTACTTTAAGTTCCATAGCGATTGAGGGCGAGTATTAAATTGGCAAAATTCAACAAAATGAACTGGACTGCCGTGACACAGCCCCTTTAAACTCAAGTCGAATGCTTGCCCCTCAGTTATGGCCACATAACCATCATAGTTTAGCGTACGTTTCAAAATTCATAAAATATATGATGACCTGACACTGGTTAAATTTTTTTGCCGGATTCGCCGCCATTTTGCGTCGCCCTTTCCTTTCATTCCTGGGGCTTCGTAGCCTGAATTTCATCCAATTGCTTCGAGTCGTTTTGTCCTCTCAGGGAGTAATAACGACTCCAAGTAATCGGATGAAATTCAGGCTAGGGACTTCGCGCCTGCATTATTTTGATGTATCAGGCAATCAAGTACTCTAAAGGCCTTCGGTACGCGAGTTGTACACTGCGGTCATTTTTGAGATTGAATGTGGTCGGGCAATTTGGGGTGATTCGTTTACATGTTTGGAATCTCTTGTCTCACAATCTCCGTCGCGATATTATCCTGTGAGCCTACGCGCTCGTATAGTTGCCCAGCCGTTTTCTTCTGCAGAGATTAGTGAGTTTACGTAACAGGACGATAGGGAGAAGAGGACGGTAAAACGCTTGTGTGACAAACGTGACAGGGCTATTAATTGCTTGTTTGTCGTGAACTTAACATTAATGTTTTCTGGTCTTTTACAAAAAGATACATTAAGTATAAAACCATTTATTTCTTTCAGAAAAAGTTTTTTCAAAGAAAATTTGTCACACAAGGTTTGCCGTCTTCTTTCCTCTTCCGTCCTGTTGCACATTCCCAACACATTGAGTCTCAAAAATTCTTATAGCGTTTCTTCTTCACTCAACCTCATTTTATAGACGCTCAGGGTAATAACAAGGTATATGGGATCAGGGATCAACAGCAAAAATGGGAAGGGATCAGAGATCACAGCGCCAGGATCTGGGATCACAAGCCATGGGATCAGGAAGGGGATCAGGGATCCGTTTTTCCGACATAACAACAAAGACCGCACAATTCTGAAATGCGTCTTAATTGAAGGGACCTGCAACCTCTTAAAAATTCAGTTGTATTTTTGCTGTAACATTTCGATCCAGTAGTAAACTGTGTGCAATCCGATCTGCTGGACTACCTTGACCGCAAAACGTAATATGTACTTTACTTGAGTTTGAAGATATTTACCTTATGTAGCCTTTTTTAGCACATAATTAACTCTCTGCTAATTGACCTGTTGACTCAGTTTGTTGGTTTTATAAATTAAGGTGACTGAGCTACCGAATTGGTCAAATCCTTTGACCGGTACTTTACACTTTGTACGTTTTACTGACCAGCCTCAATAGACCATATATGTTCGCTTGGCAGCCTATATAGCAAAATTCCTTTAACAGATCCCAAAACAAATAAACTAACTATGTGACGCCAAGAGACGCGAACGACTTCGTAAAGGTTAAAAGCCATGCCAGAGAGAAACCTCTGCTTTCTCGCAGGGTAAGGTGTCTGACTCTTAACCAAACTTGGATAGCCTACATGGCAAGAGAATCATCCAGGAGTCCAGGAAACAAAGTCCCTCCTGTCTGGAAACAAATTGATGCAAATTGTGAAGCCATGATAGATCCTCTTCAAATTTCTTGTTGCTACACCTTTTGCAAGTTATATTAGCATTTTATAAGCTGTTGTTGTTCATACGCCAATTGCGACGGAGGCTCTAATCATACTGGTCTTGTGGAATTCTGTTGGCCGGGGGTACTTCAATCATTGGTCAGGCCAATCTTTGCCCATGTAGATGGAATTTGCAGCCCGCAACACAATTTCATGTTAACAGTCTTTCCTTACGAAATAAACTTTGTACGATTTGGTCTTGTGTATTGATAATAATGATAATCACATAACTTTTGTTGGACATATAGTTTATTTGTGTCCCTCGTAGCATCACTGCACCCTCGCTCCGCTTGGGCGCAAATAATAATAATAATAATAATAATAATAATAATAATAATAATAATGGAATTTATATAGCGCTTATACATCGCTGTTCTAAGCGCTTAATGATGCTAAGAGGGACACAAATAAACTATATGCTCTCCAAAGTCATGTGATTGTCCTATTATCCGGCTCCTAATTGACTTCTTTTCCAAAAACAATTTTCAGCAAGTTGGAATCAATGACTTCCTAACGACATGTATACCGAACATATAACAGTTCGGAAAACCTCGCTCTTGATTGCTTTATTTCCAATTTGTGACGCCCTTATTGAAATTTGTCTATTATCAGCATGGTGTCTGTTAAGTTGAGAAGCCGAAGATCACTCTACGTGATGAGCGTAAATAATTGCAGCCATCGGTTCTTGTTGCGGCACATTTGTGCACACTGTTGGGTGGATTCACAAGTTTCTTCGCGCCACACCGAGTTCTCGAAGGAGTGTCCTTTGGTCGCTGAAAGTGCTAAAGCAAAGGTCTCTCTTTCTACAGACAGTCCATTTTGGCTCTCTAGAGGGTGTAGTATATTACGTCTCCCTATGATATAAGACCATCTCATCGATTTAATTTGCAAGTCTCTCGACAAGCTTTAAGTTTTAGTTTTAAATTAAGACTAGACATTGCCTAACGGGGCTAGATTAAACTTGCATCATTGGGAGTATAAAAACAGAGGTGGTAACGAGAGCCAGAGTCCGAGAAAATTAGGCAAATAGACGTTCAGTATAGACGTAGTATAGACGTAGTATATTACGTCTCCCTATGATATAAGACCATCTCATCGATTTAATTTGCAAGTCTCTCGACAAGCTTTAAGTTTCCTCGAGACTTTATACTTAACTCAGTTAAGTCAGTGTTGGACAAACTTTTGCAAGACTCTATAGACTCCATTCAGTGTTGGATAAAAGGCAAATGATTATTGCCCTTGATGGAAAAGATTAATAATGGCCTTTTTCGTTGGGCCGTTTGGCGGTCCCGCCGAGACAACTGCCGAGAGGTTCTTCTCCCAAGAAGTGTTTTCATGCTTCATTATTTCTTGTGCCAAGCAAAAAAGAGGTGGTTGTTTTTTGAGCTTTTAGGTGATTTTTAGCTATGTACCCGTTAATTCAAGGATAACTTTGTAACACTTTGGTCAAGGACGACTTTGTTCTTACTCTAAGGTCAGTTGCCTCTTCATTATAAGATCGACACTGCATCTTAAGTATAAACAGCCAAGAATCTCCAACGATTTTGGCGGCAACGAACTTCTCTATGTTATTCGATTATTGGTTCAAGAAAACTATTATGAGATCTGTTCTATTCGCTGTTTGCTGAGTGTGCGAAAATGAATTTAACTAGCTAATTGAAGGCTATAGACGACAATTGATCCTTGACTGACCTTGAGCAGTTAGACTGTTTTGTCTAGAACATGTCTAATTAACATATACCAAATTAAGACTAGACATTGCCTAATGGAGCTAGATTAAACTTGCATCATTGGGAGTATAAAAACAGAGTTGGTAACGAGAGCCAGAGTCCGAGAAAATTAGGCAAATAGACGTTCAAATATATTTAAGCATAAAAAAAGATCTAAGCATACACACTAATAATCAGTAATTAAAAAAAGAAGTTAAAGTTAGGTTTAGCGTCCTAAGATTGTATAACAGAATTCATGCGTTCATCATGTTAAAGGCTGATCGTGTTAAAGGTTCATCATGTTTGGTTGCGGGACGTGACAATGATGTACAAATGTGTTAACAATTATTAGCTGTAAAATAGGAAAGCGATCCAATGCGCACGCTTACAATCTCCGGAACAGTGAAGATCTAAACCTGCCAGGATGCCGGACAGCCGCAGCGGCTGCCCAGAGTAGCTTCTTTTATAGGGCAGCAAAAGCGTGGTATAGTCTCAGTAACAACACTAGAACTGCCCGATCATTAAAATCATTTAAAAAGCATGCAAAGGCAGAATTAATGAAGAAATAGGATACCGGTATATATACCATAGTACATTATTACATTGTTAGTTATTATTAGAAGTAGTAATTTTTGAGTTGTTATTTATATATCAAGAACCTGTATATCATTAGTCTTAGTTGTATTATTTATACATATTGTAAATTAATTCTGAAAAGCCCTCGGGGAGAGTTAATAAAAAAGTATTGTATTGTATTGTATGCTCTAAACCATGCAGGTGAGTCCAAAAACCAAAATAAAATCTAATTGAAGAGAAGCACATTAATGCAATATTCAGCATATGATACCCACGAGCGGAAAACGATCGGATAATAAAGCATTACTCACTTTTTTCAATGAGTGCTTGAAGCTCCAGATTTAGTTTTCGCCTCAGTTTCCCGGCATGCAGCTGAAGGCAGGAATTAGACTTAGATGGAAAACAGCAATTCAATTGGGTTTAAGCCATCTTTATCATGCAATGTGCGCTAGTTACCCGAGTTGCCGAGTATCGCGTCAGTTCTTACAAAAATGGGAAAGTATGCCACGATTGCGTAAAAAATAACAATGCTTACATACAGTTACACAATTGCACGTGGCATATAACTCGCTCGGGCTGAGGGTCAGCGAGTAGGTGACCGAATAGTTTAATTGAAAAAATGTGTGTAATTCAGGATCTAACAATGACGATATTTGTAACGTCTACCCTTGTTGTTAGTTTTCTCCTTACCTACTTGAGCAGTTGTGATGTGGCTCAGCCAAGCGCCCCAAAAAACACAAACCAGCAAGAGTCCCAACCCAAGAAAACAACGACCCGCCATAATGAAGACCCGTTGAAAAATAACCGATCCCTGTCAGGCTTTAGTTTAGAAGGTTCCAAAATACATCCGGGATAGCACCAGTTTTGAAACATCTGGACGTCCAATTTCTTATAGTTTAATTATCTAGTTTTTTTAAACTTTTTGACTCAAGAAGTGTATAATTTGCCAGATTAAAATGGGTTTCACGGTTGGCGGTTTCCCCTGTTTAGACTATCGTCTTTCGGTGTTATAAAATGCAACAGTAAGAATATCAATTTCTGCAAAAGCGTAACGAAAGCTTTCTATTACGCTTACTTAGTTGTTTTCAAAACTTAAGAAACTTAAAAAAAAGAAAGAAACTTAAGTTTTCAAAACTTAAGTTATTGACAGTTGATCGAGGTTATTGCGGCTTCGCCGTTTTCGTCGCTTTTTTTAACCGTGTTTCGGTCTCTATAGGTTAATGTACTCCTCTTTCCGAGTTGTGCCGATATTTTGTAGTATACGAGTAGTCCCTCGTTTTGCGCCAATACCTTGTTTATTTACAGTGCATTGCGCGGAATAAGCTTCCATGAATAAGCTTGAGTGAGTATAATTTATTCAAGTAATAGACAGGTGGGTATCACGCTGGTAAACCCATAGAAAGTGTGGTCTATTGCTTTTATAAAATAACGTTAAGTAAACTATGAGTTAACCGGCGCAATAAACCATAGGTTTTTAACCAATCAGAACGTGCCTACTATCTTAGTTATGTTATCAATATCGTAAATGAATTTCCTGTGCTATTAATTAGTTATATTGGAACAATTCCAAGCTAAATTGACCAATGGAAAGTTGCCAAACAAAGAATGCCAAAAAATTGCCCGTCGGACTTAACATCCGAACATCGTTTAAATGAATGATAGAGTTTGTTTGGGAACAGGAAAATTCTACAGTTCGTTATAATTAAACGCTAGTTTTACGTGCAAGTAATTTTTGATTTATTCCAGCGTGGATATCATCGAACTGTTCTTCCCTACCGCAACCAGCAAATAAAGACAGAGAAAAAAAGAAATGAGGAGTATAATGGTACGAGTCCAATTTATAGAAAGCTCCCTTTAGATACCCCTGCAGGGTTTTTGGCATCACCGTGTTGAGAAACTTACAAACGGTTTTGCCGTTATTTTCAAGTAAAGTGGAATCTCCATATAACAAAGGCTAAGGGACTGGCAAAATTTGGTTGCTGTAACAATAGCCGTTAACGAAGTTTCGCAATATCGAGGTTCTTTTTAATCTATTTTACTATACTGGGGTAAAGAAAATGGTTCCAATCAGTGAAGAGTGCGTCTGTAAAGTGTTTTTTAGACTTAACATAGTTAAAATTCCTATTTGCTACTACCTACTATAAACTCTGTGTGTAGTTCAGCCAAGCTTCCCAAAGGCAAACACCAGACTGAACAGCGCCGATACAGACAAACATTGCTGTAAAACATCTGTTCGCAAGCAAATTGCCGTTTAACGACGGCTAAATATTTCTAGATGACCGTTCCACTCATGTAGAATTTTCGAAGCTTTCCTAATAAAATCCCTATGATTTTCTGAGGTTTAATTTTCGCATTTAACTTCCCTGGTGTCATCGATATCTGGGTTATTAAGGATGAGGTCGCCTCAAACCTAACTTTCTTAATTGGACAGAATATTTTGGATAATAATGAAAACATTTGTCGGGAAGCCTTTATTGATTGTTACTCAGCAAAATTAGTAAATGCTCAACTCTCATCTTCTTTTCAAATTTCTTCTAACCCGCGTGGTAAAAATCATCTTCTCCTTCCTGTGAAAACTGCAGTTTCGACCAGTTCTTTAGGACAACCGTTGAATTCAATTCCCGCCAAGATTTTATCCATTAATGAAGGGTATGCACTACTCATTTAATTTTTTTAACTGAGCCATCCGAACTGAACTTATGTTTTTAAGATGTTGGTAAACTTTTCAATTCTTTGCCTCAAGACAAAAAAGGTCTGCGGTTTGAAAAATGAGATACGTACAGAGTAAGGGGTATTTCGTTGAATTGTTTGATTGGACGTTTATTAGAAAGAGCTTACACTTGTTATCAATACCTTAAGATTCGAGGACGAGGTCAACTACGATGACGAGATTTAACATAAGGTTTTTTCGCCTCTTCTAAAAAATGGACACCCCGGCAGGAAAGCTTTATTGTACTTTTTGTTTCACCAGAAAAGTAAGCAAGGTTATGTTTATTAAAGGAGGTTAAGCCCTCTCCCGATCGTAAAATGATAATAAACGTGACCAACTTTTGATAACTTGTTTCCACCACTACGACATTCTTGCGACAAAACTCGTAGTAGAATGACGACGGCTTTCTCTTTTTCCCGCCAAAATGACGCTGGTTGAGCCGTGTGCAGTACTTAGTATTAGGGACCTTAAGCAACTACGACGACAACGGCAGTGAAAACTTGGCTAAAAAATGAATTTGCGTTCTTTCAAACTTAATCAAGTCTATTTGGACCCGCTCAATTTGTCAAATGCAGGAGACGTTTCCTGGAGTTGAATTCTTAAGGATTTTATTCGGGATCAAAAAGAGGAAGCAAAATTCGTCGTCGTATGTCCACGTCCTCCATGCATAAAACGTCAAATTAAGAGGTTTCACGTCGTAATCGTGCAGTGAAAGTAAAAAAGAATTGTACTAAAAAGCGTGGTGCACGTGCAGAGCTGTTGTTTTGATCAGTAAACCAATTTTTTTTTTGACGTTCTTGTCGTCGTCGTCGTCGTAGTTGCTTAAGCTCCCTCAGTATTGTAACAATCTCGTTCTCTTAGTCATTCTTGTCTTAGCATCTAAAGGTCTCTAATTGTATGCAACTGAATCCAGGCTCTTATCTCATCCATAACCAGTTACAAAAATGTCGAGACACTCCGAAGGAAATCCGGCCCTGTTTACTTAAAATCGAAACAAGAACCAAGGTGTTCGATCTCCTTTTCTTCGCCCTACTTAGTGTCTGATAAATTGACTTCTAAGGGTGCGCGTTCCGTTGATCGTGTTCCGGAATAAAAAATTAAGCTATAAAAATCCATTGTATTGCGATAACGAAAAATCTCCTTGAAATAAATATTATTATTATTATCCAGTCAAAATATTTTTCTGTTTCTGATTGGCTAAAATCCCATGCACAATTCATTGCCCTCGCTGGGCGAGATCCCGAGGAGACATGCTTGTAGCTGCGCGTGTATTTAGAAAAGTACTTACAGTTGAAATATGCAGTCAGCCACTAAAGAAAAAATCTCGATATGCTTGATCAGGGGCCACATGGAGTCGTTGAGTAATAAAATGATGACATTCGTTTATTCACGCCCCCAAGCAAGAGATTTCTTAGGGTGACGTAAAACAGATTATCGCGCAGAATGGCTGTTGTTCTCGGGACATTGTACTTACAGTCGAGCTAGAAGCATAGCTGGAGCGTGAACTGAATCGCTATTGTTGCGTGAACTGAATCGCTCCACGATTGGCATCGTGTCAATATGGATTGCCTTAAAACTATGCTTAAACATATCTTGGCATCTGGTGTTATATAAATCCTTGCAGTTTATCTGATTTAAATACCGTAGAATCCCGGTTATAAGCCCCCCCGGTTATAAGCCCCCCCGATTATAAGCCCACCTCTCTGCTAATAGAAATTTCCTCCCGGTTATAAGCCCCCCCGGTTATAAGCCCACCCGATTATAAGCCCACCTCTCTGCTAATAGAAATTTCCTCCCGGTTATACCCCTGTTATACCGGGTACCGTATACATGATTAAAATTTTCATTTTAATAGAACGGATTTTAGACGTTTTTTTCCTCCCTATTATAAGCCCCCCGGGTTATAAGCCCCCCCGATTATAGGCCCACCCAAAAACCCTTACGAAATTGTATAAGCCCAGGGCTTATAACCGGGATTCTACGGTATCCTAGTAGTGCAAAGAGTTCTTAACGATCTTGAGAGTCCTTCTGTTAAGTTTCTCCAGCTTGTCTTTATTTCGAGCCGCACAGAAGAGCCAAATCGGACAATTTCTTAAGTTTGGTACCATGAAAGCCTTACAGAATTTAACGTCGCTCCATAAAAGTGCACGTGGATTATAAGAACAAACGAACCGCCTATAAATGAAGTTGACAAGTGCGTGATTTATTTTCACTGATTAAAACAACTTAGCTTTTATGCTGTGCCATAACAATTCAGTTTTCCAAGAGTGTGGTATATATCCTTGGTTGTCTCTCCCTGCATCACCATGCACGCGCTGTATCACTGAAAGCTTTGTTTTGTCAGTGAGGAGACCGCTGTCCTCACGCCATTCATAGTCATTCGCATCACAGTTACAACCAAAACAAGGATTTGCGCATGAGTTGTTCATTCCGCATGCGCAGTTACCATTCAAACGCCTAGGCCGAGGTCTCGATTTCAACAGTGACTACATCCCAGAGTCTTATCGTTTCAAATGTGGCGACTTTCTTGGAGTTGCTATTGGAGAGGCTGTCTCAGCAATCTCGTCCCTAGGCTCTCTCTTCTCTTCATAGCCAATAACATCACGGCTTAACCTACAGACAATCAACACCGTCGCGGCTTAATTGACCAATAGGGCCAAAAGCCAGAGTTTACTACCATTAACTGACGCGATAGAACTTACTTTGACTCTGAAGATGACTACCACAGTGAAACGTCAGTCACTGTAAACAACAGTCCTATCTTCAGGACTACGTTTATCCGGACAATCGTGCTCAACATACTTTTGATCATGATAAATATAATAATATCGATAGTGCCCAAAACTAAAAGCGCAATGGCGCCTTACAAACAGCATTAAATACGTAAGGGAAATAAACAAACAAAAAAACAGAAAACACAGAAAGCACCAAATACAATCACGGAAAAAATTTATTGTTAATATTTAAGTAGAAGTACTTTGCTTAAAGAGGTGCGTTTTGAAAAAGAGATTTAAAAAAGGTCTATTGTACTAGCTTGTCTGATATTATCTAATTATTAAGAGAGGTACACATTATGGGGGAGAGACCCCTCTGATTCATATTACGTTCGATCACTTGAATGCTCCCTAGAGGAGATTTTATTTTTACCTAATAGTTCTACATATGACGTTTACTTATCAGACACAAACTGGCTTTACGGAGCCACTTACGGCGATGTGCAACCTAATGGTTTGTCTCAAGCACTCATAAGATGTTCAACCGAGTAGCTCATAGCATCTGGGCTACCCAGCTAGCAAGCCATGATATATAGAAACAGAAACAACAAAACTATGATGGTTGTATACGTACTAGATTACGTGCGCAACGCGTCCTTATAGTACAAATCAGGTAGACCAGCTTATTCAGCCACCGCTATTCAAACTTGGAAATGTTAATTATATCGCTACTCAAAAGTCTTTATCCTTGTTTCCCCATTTAAACCAAAGTTAAACACGTTTCTAAACATCTACTTTTAATTCAAAATAAGTTCCTTATCAACACTGCTATTGTTTCTCGTCGACTGCACGTTAGCCTAAAACGATACTGAAATAAAAAAGGAACATCAATAAACAATAAAAATATGAAGTTAATACTGACTTGAAGTATATGCAGAAGTCAGCTTTTATCTCCTGTTACTGCGTTTTGTGTTAATAAATTTTTTTATAACCTTTAATGTGACTTAAGTGTCCCGGAGGAGGATACTCCCTTATAACGGGCTAATGGGGATGTGCCGCTGGATGGGGTTGCATTTTCACATCTGGATTGACTATAATGGGATGGCATTTTCAATAAGGTTACTAGAATGGGGTCGCACATTTTGGGATTTTGGGGCTGAGAAAGTTCTTCATATTTACGGTTAGAAAACGTACCAGAATGTTTGTATTGTAGGTGAAAAGTAAAGAGTTCTTCATTGAATTTAAAAACTGAGTCAATTCATTTTAGGATGACCTATTTTCAAAAAGGATTGATACATAAATAGAGAGTAACTAAGTTGGGATCGCGAAAATTACGTTTGCCCAAAAGTGACTAAGATGGGGTCTATAATTGGCCACAGAATAGACTGTACTACTCTGAGAGGCCAGCGGCACTTACTCAAAATTAACCCAAGTACCCCCCGGGTTAAGTGTAGGATGCGAGCTTCAATATATCTAAATACATTTTACTTGAAGTTAGTCTTCGTCTCTATAACACATGTACTTATAAGTCTACAAATCAGTCAACCTGGCCATAAAAAGGCGAAAACTTGCGAAGTCTGTTGCTGGTGTTCTTTCTTATCATGTGTAACTTTAAAGCACAGAAAACTATAACCCTAGTTACTGGTATGTTAATAATCTTGTGTAAAGTGACAAGTTTTTCCTTGATGAAAGAAACCACTTATCAAATATTAACTTCAACCCTTCTTTTCTTAACGAAGCTGGTTAATAAAAAGAAAAAAAATACAAGTTTTATGTACGATAAAGCACGTGCGCGGTGTAGCTAGGTTCAGACACAACTTCTCTTTAATTGGTTTCATTTCTTTTCACAGCGTCAAAGCTGTGATTTCCCTACACTTTTCTAGTCTTTCCTTTTTTATTTGCATGCCTGGGCAAGAAAGTTAGCTAAGCAAAACACCGTTTTTTATAAAACAACCTGAACCGTCGGCTCTATCATTCGGTTCCGTAATGTGAATCATACATGTCGCTACACACACGCAAAAATATTCTCCCTTAGCTATGTATAGTATGTGAGGCGCCAAGGAGAATAGTCTTGAATCCTTCTGCTCTGAAGTTATGTTTTAAGCGCTATGGTCTCAAACAGAGGAAAGTTTTGTTTTCACTTGAGAACAGCGAATCAGTTATGAAAAAGGGTAGAAAAAAATCACATATTTTTGTCCCGGGGGGTACTCCTCTATATAGGCTATGCAGGTATGTGTCGCCCGATCGGGTAGGGTTTTTGCGCCATTTTGGTCTGAAAACGGTATGGTTTTTGAGGGAACTACGGGAGTGTATGAAGGAATTATCGTTTCAATTCCAAATGAGTAAGAAAGAAAGAGAACTATGCGAATTTGAAATGGCTTGGAAGACTTTTTGTTTGCACTCTAATTTAAGTAATGATAACATAATTTCTGCCTAAAGGCCAGGTCTGAAAACGGGTGTGGATTTTAGAGATCTAGTCTGAAAACGGGTGTGGAAAATTACATTTTTTGTTCTGAAGTAGGGTCAGGATTTGGAGAACTGGGCGGCACACTTCCACCAAGAATTCCCAGGAGTACCCCCATTTGGGATTTTAGTCTGAGATAGGATCAAGGTTTCGGGAAGCATGCCGAACTGTCAAGGAAAACCCCCTCCTAGAGAGTGCTCCGGATGGTCATCTAACATGTGCTTTGTTTGTCAAGAGTAGCTATTAAGAGTCCGAAAGCTTGTAAACTATTCTTGTAAAGGTTTTGTTGAAATGACCCTGAACAGCACTTGCCTACATTTTACAGGTTTCTTTTAACATTCCACATGACACCAAATAACAATTAATTCTGGTAATAACAAGTTTCTTTGTGTGTGTGATTACCCAAGTGATTATGCTGTACCATAACACTTGAATTTTCCCAGGGTGTGGTTGCCGTGCTCCTTATCACCACCATTATCACCAAAAAAGAGCTGTGTTACTGGAAGCTTTGTCTTGTCAGTGAGAAGACCGCTGTCTTCACGCCGTGCTTTGTCATTAGCATCACAGTTACAGCCATATTTGGGGTCTGCACACGTGTTGTTCATCCCGCATGCGCACTTACCACTGCCAGGTAATGCTCCTCCCCAGTATGTCATCTTAGAATAATCACGTGACACCCACCATCCTTGTCCAGTTCTCAGTAACTTTGATCTATGACACTCATACTTGATAAACTGCGTGCAGTATGAGGAGACACTGGTAAGACTGGCCAGATGAAACAGACTCGCTCCAGTGTAATGAATGTTGCGTGAGTAGCATCCTGCCCCTTCACATCCTTTCACATGTGTCCTGCTCTCACTGTCGTGACTGATAACTGTCACTCCAACTCCATTCTTGTCAGTCATGTCACAGTATACTGTGAATGGCACCAGGCCTCCCTCGCCATCTGGATCAATGACGTAATTTCCACTTGATGCTGTAGGGTCGCCGTTCTTTAAGTCACTGCATGATAAGGCTGCGGAGAGAAGGTTCTAAGTTATTCTTGTGGTTAATCACTATTTCAGTGACTTTCTAGTGCTTATAATTTGTATAAGATGCCTGTATATCCAGAAACACCTCTAGAAGGACTTTTCTAACACCGCGCTACTTTGCGGGACATTTTCTTGACGAACGAAAAGCCAGAGAATACAAGTGCTTGGTGTTAAAAGGTTACGTACTTGACTTTTAATTACAATGAACATTTCACGGACAAAAACTTCAATGGAAAATAACAAATTATTAGCAAAGGTACTGCGATAAAACCGCCAGAATTGTCAAAATTTAAGCCACAGACCGTGTGGTCGCCCCGCGATTGTGCAAATAAGTTTCAAACCAATTATGTGATGTACCCCGAACTCCATATAGATGAAGTTTAGAGAGCAGTATTTTATGATTTACTGTGTCAAAAGCCTTTGATAGGTCAAGAATTAAACCATATGTTATTTGACCTTTATCAGTAGCTAGCTTCAGATTGCCAGTAATTTCAAGAATAGCTTGTTCAGTGGAATATCCTTTCCCAAATTCAAAATGATATTTGTGCAAGATTTGGTGTTTATCTATGAAATCAACGAACATAATTGATTATAGACTACACGCTCGAACACTTTACTGAATGGTGAGAGAGTTGCTAGGGTCTGTAGCATCACCACCCTTATACACTGGGGAATTTGTGAGACTTTTAAAATATGAGAAACAATTCCAGTTTCAATAGACTGGTTATAGATATATTTTAAAGGTATTGACAGTGGCTGGGCAGCTATTTTGATTAGTTTATTAGGAAAATTTACGGATGACTTATGATCATTTAAACATTTAATTAGATAGTGAACAAACTTGGGTTTCAGTGACACAGGACATAACAAAGCTAGCTACTGGAGTCGATCTTATGAATTGGGTCGGACGTCCTTCACAATGTTCAATTCTTTTGGCCAGGTTTTGACCCACATTAGCTCGCATTGACAAAATGCTTATTAAATTGGTCAGCGATCTCAGCCTTACTAGTGTAGCCTCTATTGCTACGTTTAATTTTCGAGATCAGCGCGACCATCCGCGCGGCCATGTAATATCGATCTTCTACACTATTTTACCTGGAGCCTTCTCACAGTTTTCTCCTTTGAAGCCAAAAGTGCAAACACAGAGGTATTTCTTGCTCGTATATCCTGTGAAGCATGTTCCGTTGTTGTGACAAGGATTACTGACGCAGGGGTTCTAATGGAGAATGTATATTTTTAAAATCACATTAAAAATTATGTACCGTGCTGTGATCATAGGAGATCGAAAAAGGGATTATTTAGATCTCTCGAACCTCTCAATATTTTATTTTTCTTCCAGTGAGGTTGAAACATTTGGGATTTTTCTAGAATTGTCGATTTAGGGAGCGAAGACATATATTTTCATATCATAATTGTTATTATAATAATAATAATAATAATAATAAAACTTTAATGGCTGTCACAATTACTGGTAGATTTAGAACCAGTAGTTTATATTGTGGGCCCAATGTAATGTTATCAGTATCAGTATCGTCATCATCCATTTTGCTAGTCGATATCGTCGTCATCATCCTCAGCAGCATCAGCAGCAACTCATCATTGGGAACATCACTGGCCTGTTTACAACCTTCATTTTCTTTGTCGAGAAATAGCGAGACATATACAATCGGCTGCCGTTGGTTTTTCTACGTATGTTTTAAACCTAATTGTCATTGGTACCTCTGTGACGCCTCTATAACTCCAGCCCTGTCTTGGTTTAAGGTGTTGTGGGTGCTGTATGTGATCCGAATCACTAAGCTCACACACAACTTTGTCGTTCATAGGCGGACCAATGTTTATTGACACGCATCTACTTTCCATAACACATCTGTGATGACAAGGCGTGTATATTCCAATAGTAAGATTTAAAAACACGTGATCTGCCAAATAATGGCCATCGTCCGGTGGAAGGAACTTGAGGCGACGACAACCATCTGCAAAGAAATTGCATCAGGGTCTTGTTAGAATGTTATAAGTAATAGACTCTAAAAGAAAACCTCGGTGGAATAGCTGATACCGACTCGATGGGATACCAAGTGATTGGAGCAACTGCTATCACATTGCTATTTTACCAAGTCAAAAGTGCTAATCGCCCCCGCAGGGATTTCGCCCTTAAGGCGAAATCCCGAGGAGGCACTCTAGTAACTCGCGCGTATATTAAGGAAAGTCCTTACAGTTGAAATGTACAGCGCTCTTTCCATTTAGGAAAAAAACCCGGAAATTTCGGTGGGAGCAAAAGTGGAATTTCCGATTGGTAAAAAATTGTTCCATTTGGTCGTAAACCCCGGTACGTCGCGGTGCCCGACCGTTGACCTGGAACTGGTACAAACTACGAGAAACGTAAATGGAACACGACATTCCGTTCGGAAATTCCAACCGGGAAAACGGGCTCACCTTTTTAGATCTTCCACTTTTTCTGGGAATTTTCCAGTGGGACGAACCGACGAAACGTGTTCCATTTACCGCCGAACCGGAAATTCCGGAAATTTTGACTAAATGGAAAGCGCCCACAGTCATACAGTCAATATAGAAAAAATTGCGATTTTCTTGAACAGGGGCCGCGAGGAATCGGTAGGTAATGATGACGTTTCTATTGTTTGCGCCCGCAAGTACGAAATGGTTAGGATGACGTAAAGACAGAACATCCCCAAGGGACCGCTTAGGTAGATTTTGTGACATTTATTGTGCAGTCATACTTCGACACTCTTTTGCGTCACGTGTTATCAGTGACATCCTGTGGAGCAGTTGTTTCAGTGAAAGTTATGGGCCAAAATTTTAACGACACTCGTTAAGCGCAGAAGAAGTTATAAGGTGCGTATAACTGTGTATATGTAAACACTTGGAGAGTTTGCCAGACACGAGTTCAAAAATCTTTCATTCAAAACCTTGCCAGACACCACCACCAAACAAGCAAGACGAGTGAACAACGGCTAGCTTATCACTAGCAGAACGATGGACGATTACAGAAATTCGCCGACAATCAAATTCTGTGCTGACTTATTCCCTGCTCACAGACGTCCTTCCGCTATAAAGTTTAAAATAAGACGAGAATGGGCGAGTGTGAATTGATCAAACGTCCTTTTAATTTCTAAGGCTTCCTTTCCGGCTAATAAAATAAACTGAATGTAAAAAGTGAAAGAGAAATAGTGAAAAATTCAACTTTTAACTAAACCTATTCTTATGGTTTAGAATTATAACTATTCTCGAAAGTGAGAATATTTCGATCAAAGCTGTGTAAATCGAGCTGAAACTGTGCATGGAACCTTGCGTTTCCTTTATTTATCTCACCTATTGTATGGAATATGTGTGAAAATTCTTCCTTATGAATCGGTATGTTTCAAAGGGCTACATCACGAGCAAGAATGCTACTGACCGACAATATACAGAGCGGGGGCAGCTGTAGTGTGAACTATTACTAGTTGTAAAAGGTCATGGTAAATATCCCCCGAGTCTTTGACTGTCGATAGAGTGCTGCGAAGAACATGCTGATTTCAGAAAGGTCGGGGCTGCAAAGACCATATCTAAACCTTGGGGAACTACATGCAGTGTCATTTGAATGGCAGGGAGGATTGTATGTCAAGTTCATCGATTTCCAGCGTTTGATAGCGTGCACACAGAAAGCTTATGGAGTATTCTCCGGATATATCGCATACTTAAGCACATTGTCCGAGTGATAAAGCAAATATTCTATACTGACTTTTGTTGCTCGGCTAGATGCTCTGATCTGAGCTACCACGTTAATTCCGGTGTCCACATCCTACATCAACACTATGATGTCAGTTTCACGCCAAAAACCGTTAAAATAAAAAAAGAACAAACATACGATTGTTTGGAATACAAAGATCTTTTATCCAGCAAATTTTGAGCTCAAACGGATAAAGCTGCAAAAGCATCTTCTAGGAGAGCGTTTCAGGCTTCATTTGTGTCACCGTGTATGGAACAGGCTACGGATCCGCAGCAAACAATTTTTTCGGTCTTTCACCTCTGACAGCCTCATCGCCATGACCTGTATTTGACATAATTCTTTTTACTTTCAACTTTAAAATTTTGCACGCATTTCGGCATATGTATCGGTCTGTTTTGAGATTTGCTAAAACATTGAATTAGTAGGTAAATCATGCCTAGACTTATCATTGCTGGCTACCTGTATAAATATTTTGTCATGGTGGATTTTATCATTTACCCGATTGCGGTGACAGTTAGCTTTGATTTTCGTTTCTTATAGTTAACTTCAGTAGACATCAGTCTTTCTCGGTGTACGATGTTTCTATCTGCGTACTGTCATACGTCCTCGTAAGTGGACATTGCGCATTAAAAAAAAATGCATGAGGGCAAGAGCTTACAGTATATCGTAGTATGGTTTATCGCCTTCTGCCAAGCCAAATGTCCGTCAATGCCCATTCTCCTAGCGGAGGAGAGTCGGAAAAAAATTTATTGCATTGTAGAAGTTACATTAGACCGAGAAACTAAAGAGGAAGCTGCATGCCATCCTCAGCAGTCCCATCAACTAGAACAAATGCGACGGGAACAAGAAGCACTTCGCGCTCGAAATGCCGATCGACCTCGAGGCTACAAACGGCTTCTACCGGAAAAGGTGAAGAAAACTCGGGGAGGGGGGGTACTCCCTATAATGGCCTATACGGGGAGGCTCCGCTCGAAAGGCGTACCTTCTTTTAGGCTTTAGGTATATGGAATGGTAGGGATTTTACTCGTTGAAGTGTATAGAAGACTAGGAAATCTGTCATTTGGATCTGTGAAAGGGCCCAAAAGGGCTAACAGATGAATTTTATCGCTTTATTGAGTCGAGAAAAGGTTCTATTTTTGTGATTGACTCCTATTTAATAGACAGTGCATTTACAGCAGTTAAAAGGGATGCAAAGTTCTAAACAAGGTCTGTGAAAGGGTTACTTTTTCGTTAAAAAAAAAAAAAAAAAATGGTAAGGGGT